AACCTCCTCATCTCAACTACACTCATCCCCATGGATATTTTGTTTCTTGACCACCCAACATTCTGTCCATAAAGCATGACTGGTCTTATAGCCATCCTGTAGAACTCCCTTTCAGTTTCATTGGTATGCAGTGCTATATGGCTACAAATAAAAAAAAAATATATCATTTAAGTCATTATCTTAGTCTTTAAGGTGGGCATCCCAAAAGTCCAAAAAATCCAGATTCCTTGAATATCACTTTCATAGAGCGCCAAAGCAGGATCGCCACCTAGGTTGGGAGATCCTGGCTTCAATAGTTAGAACCATGTGGGCCTCCTCGTGTAGATCATTGTGCAGGAAGTATCCAATTGGAATAGTGGCAGATTCATCAAGTTTTCAATTTTGTTTTGCAATTGGACTAGAAATCTATAGAAAATTTACAATAGACTCTTTAGAACTAGTGAAATTTAAGGCTAGCATGGACCTGTCGTTTGACCAATTGGACTGGGAACTGTTGCCCTCACTAGTTGGACAGGGGTTCTTGAACTGGTGGACCATGGAATCAGCATCGAACTTGAGAATATCCGGTTCATGCTTGGACCATAGTTGTTCGGATCTTCTAAGCTACTTTCTAATCCTTCTCCAATTATCTCTCCCCAATGCTCTAGGATAGGGAATTTCAAGCTATCTCGATTGTTTAAATTTTTGGGATCTCGATTCCCACCTTAAAGACCAAGATAACAACCATACCGATGACTTTCTTTATTGATAGCCAGCTCTAATATAGTTACATTGCTTGCTGGCTATAAATAAAGAGATCCCTATATATGCATACTTTTTAAGGTTGGGAGAAAGTTTGGAGATCCGAAAAGGATGGAATTAGGATCCCCAAAAGATTGGGATCGAGATCCCAAGATATGTATTATATTTGACCACCCTCCCAACTATGGGGATCTTCTAGCTTTTCAAGATTCCTTGCTCTTGATCCCATTCCCGATCTTGCTCCCCATCCCAACAACTATAGCTTGGACCATCCGCTTAGACCTACCCATACCAAATTGGCCAGTCTAGACCTGCTACAGTAAAAATTGATTCTGACCTTTCCTCTTATTATTTTTTCATCCTTTTTGGGTTTTTTATTTCTACCCTTTCCAATATGGTCAGGGGTGTTTTTAATAAGTGACATTTGGGTTGGTGGCATTTAAAAGCAAGTTTTAGGGAGAGAGAGAGAGAGAGAGATCAAGTTTTGCGATCTTTGACCCCTCTCTCTACTGGAAAATCCTAGTTTGGGGCATATTTCTAGCAACTTTTTGGGGGATTTCAGCCGCTTATTCCACACTATTTCAACCTCTGAGTAAGTGCTTTATATTTATTGATTTGTTTGTTTAAGATTTTAGAAAAGTTAGAAAATTCTAAGGTTTTGCAAATGTCTTTTTTTTAAAAAAAAAAAATCATTGCAATCATTGCGATATGTAGTTGATTTCTGGCATTCGGCATAATGGTTTTGGCCTTAATGTTGTAGGCACTTGCCTATTTGGTAGATTCTGTATGTTTTTCTGTATCGATAATCAGTTTTTTATTTTCGTTTATTTTATTTTTGATTGTTTAGTACTTTAATGGAACTATGGAAAATATTGAAATGCAGAAATTGTCTCATAGTAAGTAATTTCTAAAGTTTTTATATTTTTTATATTTCTTTATTGTGATATGAAAAGTTGATTTTTGTTTTGTTGTTTAATACTTAAATGCATCTATGGAGAATGTTTAACTATAGGATTTTCTGTTTTTTACTATTGTCAGTTTTTTTTTATACTGTTAACATTGCATTGATGGAAGAAAGAATACACATAAGGTACAAAACAGCCCAAAGGGCAAGCAAAAAGGTCACCGAGAAGGGTGACAAAAAAAAAACAAAATAAAAACGAGCGACCTGGAAAGCTAGAGAAACCACCAAAATACAAAAGCTATGCTGGTTGCGCTGAGGACTATCTAGTAGTAGCAATTACTCTGACAAAGCTCCTTGCTTAGCTAGTTCATTGGCTATTTGATTGGCCTCCCTCCAGGTATGAGTCCAGGAGGCCTGCATATGCCAACAAAGATCATTAATTTCATCAAAGATGTGCCAATGTCTCCAAGGTGGTTGGGATTTGCGACAGGCCCAAGAGATAACATTTTGGAGTCCCCTTCTATTATAAGAGAGGGGCCCCAAGATAGGTTGAACCACCTGAGAGACAGAGACCTTCGAGAAGGGCACGGGCCTCAGCCTCAGTGGAGTCGGCCGTCCCAATCGACAAAGAGAACAAGAGTAGGGAGATATCCTCGCTATTATTTTCAGTTTTTCCCAATAATTTTTTTAATAGTTAGAATTTTTCTAGATTCTTTTTTAGTTTTTTTCCTGTTCTCTATTTTCTTTTAATTATTAGTATTTTCTTGGTTTGTTGTTCTTTTTCTTTAAATTTGACCAATTGGACAGGTGATTCAGTCTTGTCTGAGTGGTCTCACAGAACCAATGCGTCCATAGTCTCGACGTCCAGTCTGTTCTTCTTAACATTTCTAAGTAACCATTTATCAATAAATCTACAAATGGAGTCATCTACTTTAGTCTTACACATGCATTAGGAGCCAAAATTAACCTCACTCTCAAGTAAAGGCATCAATCCATTTAATTTCTTGATCTCACAATTCCACACACTCTTGCCTGTTTAGTTGTGGGTCTATGATTTCAAGCTTGAGTCAAGAAGTTGAACTTGTTTTCTTGACTCCTTTTGATAGAAATTTCTGTTTTGGAATTTCTTCCTACATGTAGTGGCAATGAACTTATTGCATGCTGCCCATATGGAATTACTAGATTCTTTTTAATTTCAAGAGTACTTCTGTCTTAATTTGGGCCCCTTCAGCATCTGGCATATTCTTGGTCTCCTCCTTTCGGTCAATCTCTACGCACCATAATTTTTCTGGCCACTTTTGTGCTTCGGCCTCTAAAGCTTGGAATTCCTTCATTCCTCCTAGGATTTATATGCTCATTTGGATCACTCTTCACGAGAGATTGTTAACTATTGATCAGCTTCAAAGGAGAGGAGTTCAAACTCCCCAATAGGTGCACTTTGTGCTTGCAGGGCGAAGAGTTGAATGCCCATTTACCACTTCATTGCGAGTTCTCCAGAACAGTGTGGAAAAAGATCTTGGAACTTTTCAAATGGGCTTGGGTCACCCCGAGCTCAATCCCCCATTTGTTTCAAGCTTATCTCTTCTCATCTTGGTACAAGGCAGGCAGAGTCCTTTGGAAAGCATCTTTATCAGCAACCATTCGGGTATTGTTGATTGAAAGAAACCACATAATTATTAGGGGAAAGAGATCCACAGCCGTCCAGTTGGCGGAGGAAATCAGAAACCTTGTGGTTTTCTGAGCTACCAATCACAAGCTTTTCAGGAATTCCTCTTTCACTGATTTCCACAGCAATTGGCCTAACCTATTGATGCAATCCCACCCTAGAATCTCGAGGACATCTTTGTGGAGACCACTTGAAAGGGGTACTATCAAGCTCAACTTTGATGGTTGCTCCCTTGGCAACTTGGGACCCTCAGGCGGTTTCTTTCAATCGATCTCTTTTGTTGTCCTTTTCCTGTTCCATTGGTATAGCGGACTCCACTCTTGCTAAGGCTCTTGCCTTGTTGGAGGGGCTTCGCAAGTTTGAACCCTCTTGGAGTTCCAATCTGACAGTTGAAGGAGATACTAAGAACATCATCTCCTGGGCATCTAACTGCTTGCCTTAGCCATGGCATTTAGATGACATTTTCGTAGAGATAGTGCCCCTAACCAGGAATGTCAGCACTACTTCGAGCCACGTCTTCAGAGAAGCCAATTCAGAGGCTGATGTTTTGGCAAAGGAGGGGCCTCTTCCAACTCCCCTTTAAGGGGAACTAGTTTTTGTGTGCTCACTTCATCATCGCTGATCCTCTTAATAGCCTCTTCCCTTTTGTACATTTTGGTCCCATTAGGGCTTGTATAGAGTGACCCTTTGGGGTCACCATTTTTTCTCTTGGGAATGTATCGTGTGACCTTGAGGGGTCCCCATACTTCTCGATTGTCTTGTAATCTTTACGTATTATTAATGCAATTATAGTAAACTTCACTAAAAAAAAATTAGTACTTCTGTCTTTACGAAATCTGCAGATGTCCTAATTTCTCCAAAGCTATTACTAATCTACACCATGTCTGTTGTGGTAAAAAGAACTAATATTTCCTTTTTTGAGTTAGATATTGGCACAATAGTTTTCCTGCTATTCCAATGTACAAAATTGCTGCCAGTAAATAAAAAATCCAGAGACAGATATGCTATTGTGATTCCATCAGCATCCACAAAGGCACTCTTGCAAAATGATGATGAGGGATAAAGTGATATGCCCTTTGCTGGGCGGGACTTATTATTTCGGAATGTCCATGTGACCATATATCATTTCTTTGTTAGTTCTGTGTAAATCGACTTACTACCTCTATTGCATATGATTTGCATGGTCTAGTTGATATCAATTAGATGAGCTCTCCCAATGTCATCATGTATCTAATATGACATAAGGATATATGATGCAGTATTATCAAATAACATGCTATGGTCTGCATCAGTGGGAGAGGTACTTGACTCGGCAGCCAATAGCCCACATTTGTCCAATAAGTCAACTGTATACTTTCTCATATATGGGAATCCTCTGAGTATCCGTGATAGTATGTGTCTGACCTAAGGCACCCATACCTGTCCATGTAACATGGATTTGCGATTATCAGTTATATTTGTTATTCATGGAATAAAAGGGTAAGAAGGATGCATATGCAAGCATGTGTTTTAGCTCATTTATATACATGAATTAAAAGGCTAAGAAAAATTGAAATAGCCCTCAAGTTTTGGAAAATGATCAACAATATATACATCTCTTTTTTAAGGGTTTTATTATGTATGATGCATACGTAATGGTGTGGACATACCTAGCCATATGATCCTGAGATGGTTTTGTACCGTAAATAGTGCAGGAATGTTGTGTGGCTTCCTGGAGCAATATCAGAAGCACTGGTCACTGAACATGTTTGCAATGTGTGCAATCCAGGTTCTATAATTTGGTTTCTGAACACTGGATTTGACTTGCAAATTTTGTTGTTTAAACTCTTAGTTTTGCATAGCTTCTGTAACTTTCTGTGATCCTATTCTCTTCTCATGAGATGCTGTATTCTATTTCAAAATATATTTGTTTCTAGAACCTGTTTTCAAGATTCAGTTCAAGTTCCGCAGGATGGAGATACCCCCCAACTTTGATACAGAACACTTGGGTAAGTGTAGAACTAGAAGTTTCCAGCAAATGCTTTTCTTTCTCTGATAGGCATGTTTCCAGCATATACTTGAAATTTATGTTCGGGATGCTCGCTTTAATGTCTCAGTGATTTGCTTGGATTGCCTACATGGATATTGATAAAAGATCAAAATAAAAGCACGAGTGGTAGAAGTCCAAGCAAGTGGTTCCTAAAACGTGAACTAAGTCATTTTGAGCTTACATAGGACCACTTTTCTGCAGTTCCTGCATGGGAGTTTTGCAGGAGACTTATAAATACTTGTTTATATATAAAAGATGGCATCGATTGAGTATAAAAGGTAAATTCAGAAGAAATGAAATGCTTGTTTATTTCTTGAAAAATGGTGTTGCGCTAGTGTAAAAACTGTTGAGAGACGTTTTCAGAAGGAAGGAAAACCTTTTTAGATGAAAAGGTTCTGAGTATAAAAATATTCAAAGGAAATGTCAAAAGAAATTGAATCATTTCCTATATACCTGCCAATCTTTGACTCAGTCCTTGGTTGCATTGAATGGGGTTTTGATAGAGTGGTAAACTGTAAAGTGCTGCTTCTAGGCAGATCTAGTTTATGTTGCCTTGGACATAAATGATAAAATATACATGTAACAACTGGTTCTTAAAATGTTGGTACAAGAACATACCCATAAACATAATTTTAGATTATTGAATGCATTAGAAATAATGAAATATCACAAATAATCTTAAGAGTTGCCTGAAATGCTTTCAAAATTTGAAGTGTCCCACATATTATAAATTTTCAGTAGTTTTCTGTGTATTTTCTGAAGCCTCGTATCATGATTCATTGACATTGGTTTATCAACCCATTGGGAGCATTCAGGATACCTTGAAATATAAATGGAAAAGCATGTCTAAATGAACTATCAAAAAGAAAAAAAAGCAGAGACAATATCTCAGAAATATTTGTTGAGCATCAAGTTCAAGTGTGTAAGACACCTCATGGATGTTATTCGGTCCATTTTTTGATATATGGGCAGGTTGATTGGGCACCAAAGTCCTACATTTGGCCTTTCCATTTCTACATATTTCTGCAACATTTTTATTCAATTGGAGTTGTGTATATTTTTATATATCATGATTCAAATATGACATTTTAGGGTGCTATGAGCGATATCAGTGGCTTGATGTCTCATGTCGGCACTTTCAAACATGGGTTGTAATAAAATATAGTAAATAGGCCAGGCTTGTGCCTTGTGGCTCGAAAATGAGACCTGCTGTGGCAAAACCTAATGCGTTACCACCACTCCTCCCACACATTAGTGTAATAAAAAGGTTTTTTTTTATAAATTTTTAAAAATAATATTTTATTTGAAAGTGTTAATACAGACTTGTCTTGCTGTATTGAGTCTTTGTGCTGAAGTACTAGGCAATTTCGACATGTGTTAGACACCAGCATGAATTCAGGTCTCTCAGACAATCGATGAATGCTGCCAGGTTGCATTGGTGGTTGCGACGAGACTCTAAGAGAATTGATTCAGATATGTGGAACAGGACCTCGCAATCTTTCTAGTGGTTCAGGTTAGTGTTCAATTTATAAGTAAGAATTCTTGTAAGTCATCTAGTCTGCTCGTCATATTTATGATTACATTGTTATAATGTGTTTTATCCTTGAAGGACAAGTAAATGGCTGAACAGTCTAGCACATGCAATTCGCTGAATAAGATGTTCTTTTTGTTTTATAAACTTGTATTAAGCTGTTTACATTTCAAATATATGAGAGCTATTGTAGAGTCGAAAAGAGGAGTAAATTATAAATAAACCCAATGGCAATGGAAATAAGATGGGAAAAAGTCATTGAGGTGGTTGCCAACTAATTTACTGGCAAAGAGGTTCCTCCTAATAAAACGTTTCACTTAGGTAGCACTCCCTTTTCTTTTCTTTTTAGAAAAGTCCAAAAACTGCCCCTTTCCAGGTTTGGAATCTGGAATAAGCAAGGGTATTTACTATTTTTAACTAGTGCCTTCAGCAGGTTCATTTTGCCAAAATGCCCATGCTTGTTCTAGTTTCCAAACTCATGACAAGATTTCTTGATGAAAAACATTTTCCAGGCTTGGAATAAAAACAAGCTGGGGTATTTAGGTCATTTGGCTTAGGTGATTTAATTGGGTGAAGTTATCGTAATGCCCTTACTTGTTCAGGGTTAGAACAAGGGCAAATTTGGCATCTTTTTAACAAAGTTTTGAGGAGGTTCCTAGATGAAAGGATTTTTTTAAAGTAACTACTTGGTAAAATTGTGGATTTAGCCACCTTATTGATTTTTTGAGGTGGTTGGACCATTTTAAAGATATTTTCCCCAATAAGAATTATGTTTTTCATTTGTCTGCAGTTTATTTTCCCCAACCAAATAACTGCATGGATTCCTCTATGGGTTAATTTGTTGCAACAATTATCCTTTATGTATAATGATGACCCCCAAAGTACTCGCTAAATTTACTTTTGAATTCTCCAAGTTTTTCACCTGTAAAACAATTGGCTTTGCCAAAGAGATGCAAAAGTATGGTTTTGAAGAATTCTGCTTACTGGTAAAGCATCTGTTCTGCTGTGAGATTTCCAATGTCACTATATGACCATGGAACACCGATATCATCACTTGTAATATGAGCTTGGAGTCACTGTCAAATTCTAATTATTGAAGTCCTTGGAGAATCAGGATTATAATCTTTATTTCTCTATTTTGAGGTTTTTATATGTGCCAATTGATCAGGAACAAGAGGTAGACAGCCCACTCAATTCTCAGGCAGTGCTCAGAGACGAAACACAAGCCAAGTAGTTTGTGCGCGTTGTAGGCAGTCAGGTCATTCTTCCAATGATTGTCCTCAGATTTCACGCTCTCAAGATGCTCAGAGACCCGGCCACGGAAACTCGAACTCTGGTATTGCCTACTTGAATTAGTGCCTCTCTCTCTCTCTCTCTCACTCACTCACTCTTATACATATATTTCATACAGGCAATATAGTGAATTAGTTTTGAACTGTTGGTTGGAAATGTTTTAATGCAGGAGGAGCTGATGTCCTATGTGAAAGTTGTCAAATGCCATGCACTGTGCGTACTGCTAATACAGAAAATAATAGGGGGAGAAGATTTTACAAATGTGACAGACAGGAATGCAACTTCTTTATGTGAGTCTTCATCCCCTCTATAGTTAAGCCTAAGGTTCAGGGGTTCCTAGGATGTGGACAATCTGATGCCTTCAAATATCTAAACCTCATGAACAGGCAAAATGTTTATTCTATTTGTCTGCTGTTTTCACACTTGCTCACATGAATGTAATCTTGTTCATAAAGATATTAGGGTTTTTCACCGTAATCTTAATCTCTGTTTGTGTGTGTGTGAAAGGGAGTGACCATTTCATTATAGTATAATGAAACTGCTCTATTAAAACCATGTTTGTGGCCATCTCATTATTATATAAAAAACTGCTCTTTTAAGAAACCATGTTTGTGCCATTTGCATGAGTTTAAATTTGCCCGCACTCTCTTTATCCCAAGTTCCCAACAACAATCATCATCATCATCAGTACCTTTTCCCAACTATTTTGCATCGGCTATACGAATCTTGATCTGCCATTCCGCTCTATCAAGAACCACACCCTCAATGAGGCCATGAATCCCGATATCTTTTCTCATTATTCCCAACAATAAATCCCAAAAAGAAAATTGAATTTCACATAAGAAAATGTCAAAATAAGTTTCTCTCTGATAATAAGTCCAACCATCCACTTGGAAGATATTGAGATATTGGCTGTTAAGAGCTCAAATTAAATTCGTTCTTCCTTAGAACTGTTCATCTAAGCATGATATGGCCATCTACTTAATTGGGAATGAAAATTGTCCCCCCTAAGGCCTAGATCTGATCGTCCCATCGAATGGAAAGTGTGTTTTTTAAATTTATTGGTTTTAAGATTGGTTATCAAAATAAAAAGAGTGTTTAAAAGTTCGGGCCAAACAATGACACCTAACATGTTTTTGAAGGTGTGTTTCATTATATCACTATAAAACGGTTGCATGAAATCATTCCCACTGTGTGCATGTGTATATGTGTGTGTATTTGTCTGCGAGAGAGAGAGAGAGAGAGAGAGAGAGAGAGAGATGAGCCCTCTTGGGAGCATTAATTCAAAAGTGGTCTGCCCAGGGCTAGGGCTGCCTGGGCATACCAACTAAAGACAGGCATCCTTTGGCACCACCTAGGGGACCGCACCCACCTAGGTGCAAAAATACCCATCGGGTGGGGTTTTTTTGGTTGTTTTTTGTTTGGATTATAAAAAACACATGAATATGCATTTTTTATACAAAAACTGGACCTAAAACAAAATTATTGGACACCCCTTCCCCCTTTGAACCTGGGTCGCCCGGCTTCTAGGTGGTCGCCTTGGAGCCCTCCTAGGCTCTGCCCAGTGCTTTTTGGAACTCTACTTGGGAGACAGGGTATGTGAGCTTCTCTTTTTTGTAGTATTTTCTCGCTTTCTAAGCAGCATTTATAAACTGGCCTCAGATCAGTACTAGCTAGAATTTTGAGTCTGAGTCTGGCAAGCCAACTCATGCCTATTCAATGACAACACTTTTGGGTTTTAAAATTGTTAAACTTGGACGAGCCCCATGGTACTTGAACAGTACTTACCAGGGTCCCGAGGTGAGTCACATGTCCGGCTTTCAAATGCTGCAATGAAATGCATGCTGGACTGTATTGATTTATTCTTATTCAGATATGTCTGGGACTTGGTTTTCATTCAACTCTATGAAGATCAGGTCATGACCTTGTCGAGAATCCATATTTCTCCACAAAGCAACCTAATTGTAGTATAACAACGAACCAATACTGTATATGTTAGCATTGAATTTGCAGTTTAATATTCTTCTTACATTATCTTCTATTTAACTAGAACCAAGAAATGATTTGTTTGATGTTGGATTTCAAGTGAGTAGTATTTAGCACGACTTGTGAATAGTTATACATGTTCTCTATTCTCTACCAAATGCCTAAAGCAATATTCTTTGAACTTTTGACATCTAAGATCTCAACCTTCTTCCATTTGGTTCCAATACTAGCACTCTGATACTGAGTTTACTTTTGGCAATATGGGAACAGATGGGAAGATGCAATCGGAAGCGGCAATAGAGGAGCTTCACGTGTGAATGGGAACAGGTCTAGTGTAAGAGGCGGTCAGGCAGGCAGGGGTCGCGGTAGACGGGGTGCACGGAGTGGGGCTGCAACCTTTGTAACAGCAACAGGTGAGCCTGTCTCTGATAGGAGGTGCTTTTCATGTGGTGATCCATCGCACTTTGCTAACGTGTGCCCCAATAGAGGGATGTAGTTGTCTTCATGCAATGCAAGTGTATGGCCCTCATAATTTGTTATTTGGGAAATTCGACCTCAATGCGTCCTGCCTGTCTGTGCTTGTGTATTAGCGATGCATGTTGTGAACTTGTGATGCATGTTGTATATATGAGTATTTATATTTGGTAAATCAGTTGAAGCTATGTTTTGGTATCATTGTATGAGGTTGAAGACTTGAAGCACAAGGGGAAAGCGAGATCATCCCTTGCATATTGTTTCAATGTACCACCAAACTTAGCTCCCTTCCTACACAACCACTCCCCACATATTTTGTCTCTGTCATCAACTAAAGAGATAGGCATTCTGCAGAATGCCATACTTTCCGCGTAAATCATGTGGAACACCCTCACCATCCTTTTTCATATATGAAACAGGTTGACTATTTCTCAGAAATCCAACAAATTTGATGTCTCATGTTGCCCCCTCTATTTTAAAAATATAAAAAATTGTCACCCGTTTTCTGCAATGTCCGAGACAAACACCCCTGTGGAAATAAAGGAAAAAGTTTTGATGGTCCTGGTGGGACCACTTTGTATATTGGGTCCTATTGCAAAAACTCCATGATTGAGGGATTTGTGTGACTCTACAAGCTCTCAAATCATCCTTTTTCATCTCTATGGTCACTTATGAAAAAAAAAATTGATTAGGTGCTAAAAAATGTTATGAATGAATTTCTCCTTTGCCTCATGAATGCAAATTTTATGGTGGATCAGATCTAGTGTTGTAAGAGCTCAAAATCTTTTTCTTGTTATCATCACGGATGATAAGACTGAGGCTTTTAACACTTTCAAATATTTTTTGTTTTATTGATCACGAGGTGAATGAAAGATTTTTTGAAAAATTCTAAGCCATAAACCCCCCTAACTAGGTGTTTTGCTCGTAGGATAAAATGTACCATTCCATTTGTTTCCACAAACAATTGTATAGACACCCTTATATAAAGGAAAAAGTTCATACAAGGTGCAACCTTAAGTTTAGAAGCAAGAAGTAATGTTGTAATCTATACCGTCCATTTTAATTAGATGATTTAGATTTGATACTGTTTTAACAGGCATACTCATCAAAAGCAAGCCCTTGGGCTTATGTACGGTACTATCAGTGATGGGGACCTTATGCTCATATACCAACTAAAGAATATATTTACCTATTAAAAAATTAGAGGAATAGGAATAATGAGTTTAAAATAAAATCCAAAAAAATAAATTAATGAAGTGCTGATGAAAATTTTAAGGAAAATAAGCTAATGGATGGAATGGATGACGCTTAAAGATGAGCCACTCGGGAGAGCAATGTGGAAGGCAATCAAATAAAAATGGATGAGTAATTCTAACGAATTTGAACCGGTACTTAAAATATAGAGAAGATAACATGGAAAGCAAAAAGAAAATTGCACTAATACTGTAGTGATTTGTATTTAGGGATAGGAAAGGGGTTGGTGTCGTGGTGGAAGCATCTCCACACTCAGTTACCACATCATGGTATCCAAAAAAAACAAAGATTTGTATTTAGGGATGGCAATGGGCCAGCAGCTCGATCTCTTTTTTAGTAGAACTTGGGCCTCAAGCTGTCGCTTGAAGGCCGGGCTAGGGTTAGGGCTAGTGCCGGTTGGGCCCTCTTTGTTTTTTTTTCACTTGTTTGGGTGCCTGGACCGGCTCTGCCTGGCTTTAATGGGGCAAGGGCAGGCCTTATGGGAACAAGGTCGGGGCTAGGGCCAGGGCTAGACTGGCCTGGCTCAGGGTCGTCGCCACCCTTGTTTTTATTGTACAATGAGACGTCGTTTGTGGTTTGTATATACGATGAAACCATGTTTGTTTGAAATAAATATTCCAAAGTTAGTTCATAAGATAAAGAGAGAGGGATTATATGATGATCGTGAGTGCTATTGGCATTTTATTACCATTTGACATTCACCTGAGCATGAATTACGTACATGTAAAGAGGGCTTAACCGTTTGGTTCTTAATGTATAATTTGATATATGCAGCATGGCTTAACCTTTTGGTTCTTAATGTATAATTTGATATATGCAGCCATGCTCCATTTATCCTTAAGTGTGAACCGTCAAAAGGATGGTTGAAACTAATTGTGGATATACCAAGCATAAATTGTTGATAATTGAGGATACATTGACATTATAACATGTGTCAATACTGTAACATTATGTTCCAAGTTCAAATACCTAAGAAAATAAAAAGAAGTGACAAAGATTATTAAGGGGTTAACATCTCAAGTTCGAATTCTACCACTGAACTACTAAAGAAAAAACAAAAAGAAGCGAGAAAGATTATTAAGGGGTTACCGTCTACATGCGTTATATCGATTGAAGCACCCCTACTGCATCAAATTTTTTGAGAGTATACAACAGTTTCTAATTTATGTTGCATAGTTTTTACTTATTTTCTACATTTAACATTTTGGAAAAATATCATTTAAGGGGTTTAAATACATTACAAAATCATGAAAAGCGTCAAATGGTCATAATTAACATTTGAGGGACTGCTTTTTCATTTTCATTTTCATTTCACTTAGCTACTTTTTCAAATTTTTTTTTTTCCTAAATTGCTCTTTTTCAGGGTTGGGAAGCATAAACAATCAAGTGCATTTAAATAAGTTGGCCCTTAGAAGGCCCCAACCAAATGACAAATTTACCTATATTTGTTCGGGGTTATAAATAAGGAGCATACTATGCAGGACAGTAATAAGGAAAAACTAGAGTATTTTTGTTATTTGACATCCAAATGCATTTCATATGTCAAATGACATAAATACCATTAATTTGTCCTCTGTAAGGACCCTTAATAGTATGCTCCTTATTTTTAACATTGGACAAGTAAGGTATTGTTATATTATTTGGTTGCGGCCTTTTGGAGGTTAAATTATTTAATTGCCTCTAATTATTTAGGCTTCCCAACCCTGAACTAGAGCAATTTGAAAAATCCATATTTGTTTCGAGGAAGTATGTAAGTAAAATAGAAATGAGCAACCGCTCAAGCATTAATTGCCTTAAAGTGACTTTACAAGTTGTTGATTATGTGTAGAAGGAACAAATCATTAATAGTGAAAATGAAGCTCAACAACATGATGCTGCTTACAATGTAGTTATTGAGGAATCTCGTGTTCCCTCACAATATCTAGAGGGACAGTATGAAGTTGAGGAAGAAGGTAAGGGTATTCCCAGATCTTCAGTTTGAATTACCCCTCCTTAATCTCTTGGGTGATCCTATCTTTGATGAAGTACCAAATGAATGGGAGAAAGTTGTTTGAGATAATGGGGATAACTTACACCTTAATCCATGGTGAGGTGGAGGCCATGGTTCCCTTCATTAAAAGTGAACAGAAGTTTGACAACAACAAGGTCAATGAACAGTTATTGCCAGTGATGGGAAGAGATCTAGTAGTTTCTTAAAGAGCCAATTATGTTCACTCATCACACAAAAAACATAGGCAAAATACAAAAAGAGTTGAATTGACTCAAAAATTACAAAAAAGTCAACTACGGCAGATTTTTTAAATTTATCTCAAAAAACACCTCTCGGTCCGAGGATACCATCCCCGGACCAGTTTTAAATTTTTTTTTCTAGTTTTTTTTGTTGTGTCCTATGTTTTAGAACAGCTGGCGACTGGTTTGAGATCCCCATCCTTGGATTGCCCACATTGTGGTCTTACATTACATTACAGGTGGTCCAAAGTCATCTTTGGGCTGCCTATATTATAATGTTACATCACATTACAGGCGGTCCGTAGTCACCTATAATGTAGTATAACACTACAATCTAGGCAGTCCGAGGATGGGGACATCAGACCGATCACCAACTATCCTAAAACATAAGACACAATGAAGACAAGTAAAAAAATTAAAACCGGTCTAATGATGGTATCCTCAGATTGAGGGGTATTTTGGACGGGCGGGGGGGGGGGGGGGGGAGAGTCTACAATAACCGACCTTTAATTATCAAGACAATTTGACTCTTTTTTGTAGTTTGCCTACTTTTTTGATGTGTGACATGAGGCTCGTTCTTAAATTGATCGGATTCAAACACCATAGATGCTGAATGGAAAAAATCTAATATCAATTCAAAATGTTTGGGTGTGGAGACATGGAGAATCGACAAAGGACCACCATGTGAAATGGTGGGATCTGAGTGTTAAAATTCAAATTTGTCTTGGAGATGAAAGAAAAATAACTCTGGAGATCAAAGATGGCGTGTACAAGTGAATGGTCATGCCGTTTGGCCTATACAAACGTGTGGGCCATGTACTATATTTTCTTCAGCACTTTGTTGCGGTTTATTTTGATGACATATTGATATATAGTCAGAATGAGGAAGAACATCAAGAACACCTCTTAGTTGATTTATTTGATTATTGGAGCTTGATAATTGAGATAGAGGTCGTGAAGATCTATAAATTACAACTTGGATTACAACAAAAGACTTGCAGTAAAGGATAGGGACCTTTATGCTCAATATGTTGAACTCAACTTGTTAGAGCTAATTCTTCCATGTAATGTTATTAGGACAGGATTTGAGAGGCTGGTCCTACAGTTGGACTATGGACCAGTGTCAGTTTAGACTAAAACAAAAATTAGGTTCGAAAAAAACTCGCCAAAATCAATGATCATCTAGATTTAGCCTATTAGTATGGCCAATTTTAACCCATTGTACATGCAAATGTAGGGCAACTTTTTTTGTAATATATTTAATATTTTATAACTGTTCTTCAGACACACACACATCCGATCCAACAGGTACTAACGGCAATCAATACAATTTTGACTAGATCCAACCAATGAGGTAATGACTATTCAAGTGGTCGGCCCATTTTTTATAACGATATTTTATAACTAGGAGGAGTTGATGTAGGGCGTGGAAATAAGGAGATTATAGGACAAAAGGGGTGATCATTGGGGCTTGCTTGATATGAAGATTGGGAAACGATTATCATTTAGTGGTTTCTAATTAGTTGTGGTTAAGAAATTAATCTACTTTGTAGTTTCTAATTGGGACCCTGTGAATCAGTGATTTCCCTCGGCTGGTGTTACTAGTTTTCCATTTTTTTTGTCGGGTTACTTTAGATTTCAAGTGGTGTGTAATTTAGGAAGACTTGTTGATATTATAGTTTTTTATTTTTTCTAATCAATGAAAAGAGGTTGAGGTTGCGGTGGTAGCACACCCCATATCTTAGTTGCACATTGTGGCTTCCATTCCCATTGAAGCCACTAATTAATTCAAAAATAAAAAAAAGATGTGTTTAATGAAGTGGTGTCAGTAGGAATGGAAACCACAATGTGGTGATTAAGGTGTGGGGGTGCTACCACCACGACCCCAGCCCCTTTCTCTAGACCTATTATAGTTGATTGACCATCTTGGAGATCAATTAAGGATCCAAAACTTCACAGCCCCTTTCTCTAGACCTAGTATAGTTGATTGACCATCTTGCAGATCAGTTAAGGATCCAAAACTTCACAGGTGATCTACTATAGTTGATTGACCCTCTAAGGAAAAAGGGCGGGTTGTTTGAAGGTTTCATTGGCTTTGTTTTTTCATACATTTGTAGTCTTTGCTTTATGGGTAGCTTCTTGAAGGTTTCCTTGGCATTATTTTTTCATAATGTGTTCCTTAAATTTGAAAAAATTCCTAAAACCCCCCCTTAGCTCAAGTTTCTTAACATCGTGCTTTTAAATTTTTTCTTGAATCACTAAAAAAACTCCAACAATGTTTTCTTTTGCAATTACCCCCGATTGAAAAAAAGTATTCTTTTGGACTAAAATACCTTTATTTGACCAATGATTACAGCATCCTTTTTTTTTTTTTGTGTGCCGGACTGGCACCAATATGTATCTGACCGACACCAAAATGTGCTAGACTGGTCCAACACATTGATTTCATAGTGTTGGTCCAACTGCCAGACCGACACCAAAATGTGTCAGACCAACAAAACATGTGCCACATTGATACCAAAATGTGCCAGACCGGTCCTGCACATTAACCAAAATAGTGCCGAATGAAGCCGGTCCGACAGTGTTTTGTGTTGGATCGGTACTATAAAAACTTGGGTACAAAGTAAAAAAAAAGGTATTTTGGTCATAATTTTATTGACTATTTGAATGGGATAAAAGCGTAAAACACGATAAGCATTTTTTTTAGTGATTTAAAAAGGCTTTGGAAAAGGGCTGTTTCAAGTGATTTTTTCCTTAAATATAAAAGGGAAGACCTTGACTACCATGTGTTCCACGAAGAGGTGTCACATATTCATGTAGACTTCAAACATGCCCTTCTTCCCCTCAACGTCCTTTCGACCCTTATCTTCTACAGCGACCAATTCTAAAGTTGTGTTCACAAGGCCAATGAAAGTCATGTCTCTCTTTCTAGGGGTATTCCATTCTACAAAGAGATTGTCTATAAAGTGAGAGGGTATAATCATTCGTGGCCCTTAAATTTTAAAATGAGTAATTGTAAAGGTGTCATTGAATAGACATAGAGTTTTAAAAAAATAATTTTTCGACCTCGTGACGCATCTCCAAGCCATCCAATTTGACATTTAATGAGTGTGAATAGTTGTGAGAATCATGTACAAAAGATAAATCATCTCTTCCTAAAGGACCCCTTTTATTAAAAAGACTCCAAAAGATTTCCTACTCCGTAGGAGTGCACTATCTATTTACTCCCTTGGGCAACCTAGGGATACTTTTTACATCTCAAGTTTTGGAGTCATGATCTTTGGAATAGTCTAAGCAAATTTTTTCTTTTATAACAAACACTCTATGTACTAAAAAAACACTAATGCCTAAAGATTGAATAGAGACCATCCAATCTTAAAAGGGCTAGATCTAAGCGTCTCATATTCTTCTTTAAAAAATAATCATCTAATAATTGCTATATGGTTCTCAAAATTTTATACTAAAAAAAAGTTACCTGGCTAGGTGTTGGTGGGAGTAGATGCAATGTACGGTCGTGCTGGAGCACAATATATGCACTCTAAAAAGACCGGGGTAGTTCATTTCATTTCGAGGATCTGTTTGAATGGACCACTAAACATGAATTATGGCTCTTTTTAGCAGGAGCATTTTCATGTCTTCATCCCTTTTTGAAACCTGCTTGTGTTGAAAACAACCCCAAATAGAAGCTAAGCAATTAAAATTATGTCCCACAGTCTAAAATTATACTGAGGGAAATATCGCTAGGACTGCCGTCCAAAGTCACCCAAACATGTGTGGAATTAGGATACCAGTATCTATTTTATGATGTTTTGGCCACCATTTGCAATTTGTATGTAGTTACATGGTCTTAGCAATTTTCAATTTCAATCAATTTCCTTAGTTTCATCTTCCCTAGGCCTACTCAATATCTTAGTAATAGCAATAGAAGTGCCTTGTAAGCCTAGGTCTTTTAACCATAACCATTCTCGAGAGGATTAGAGATGGCAGATGCTGCAGTGACATTCTTCTTGGAGAAATTGGATTCACTTATAACCCAAGAAGCAAGGCTCCTCTCTGGCGTGCACAAGGACATCGTTTGGCTTAGGGATGAGCTAAGCACCATGCGTGCATTCTTGGAGGATGCAGGTAGAAGGAAAACTAAAGAACCCCTCATAAGAATTTGGGTGGAGCAAGTAAGAGATGTCGTCTATGATGTTGAGGATATCCTTGATGAATTTGTCATCAAGATGGAGCCGCAACACCGATTTTCGCTGAAGAAGCTCATAATTCTCCATCGAGTTGGAACCGAGATACAAGGCATTAAGGCACGTATTCGTGCCATTACAGATAGGAGAAGGACTTTTGACATTCAAAGGAAAGAAGATGATAAAACTCTGGATACTTCAGGTTTAGAAAATCAAGATCCAGTTGCAGCTTATCCTTACTTTGAGGAAGCCTGTATTGTAGGTATCGAAAGTGATGTGGAGATTTTGGTGGGATGGCTGCTAAATGGAAGTTCAAAACTTGAGGCAGTTTCGGTTGTAGGGATGGGTGGGATAGGGAAGACTACTCTTGCTAAGAAAGTTTATAACATGGAAGAGATTAAGATGCACTTCGATTGCCGTTCATGGGTGAGTGTATCACAGTCCTTTACATTAGAAGCACTTCTAACAGCTATAATAAATGGCTTTTATGAAGATGAAAAAGAAGCAATTCCTATCACCGTTGAGGCAATGGACGAGAGGCAGCTTCATCGATACCTTAATCTGTACTTGCAAGAGAAGAGGTATCTTGTTGTGTTGGATGATGTATGGAGTGAAGATGTTTGGAATGGTGTAAGAATTTCTCTACCAAATTGTGAACATGGAAGTCGGATTGTCTTCACAACTCGGTTGAGGGATGTAGCTTCTTTGACACAAATAGAGAGCCATGTGCATAACCTTCAACCCTTGGCAGATGAGGAGGCTTGGACCCTATTTTGTAACACGGCGATTCGGCAAAACGATCTAAAGAATTTCACTCAAGAATTGGAAGAGGTGGGAAAACTTATTGTGAATAACTGCGAGGGTCTACCACTGGCAATCGTGGCTATTGGGGGCATGATATCCAAGAGAGCGATGGCAGTGGCTGAGTGGAACAAAGTGCTAAAGAGTATCAACTGGGAGTTGGCTAACAATTCCTTGTTCAGAAGAGTGAGAGGGATCTTATCGATGATTTATAATGATATGCCACCTCTACTCAAATATTGTTTCTTATATTGCTGTTTGTTACCAGATGGTTATGAGATCAAACAAAACACATTAATCAGGTTATGGGTTGCAGAAGGATTTGTAGTAACTCATCACGGATTAACCAGGGAGGAGGTAGCAATGGCATATCTTAAGGAGTTAATTGTTAGGAACTTGATTCAAGTAGTGGGTACTCGCTTCAATGGGCAGGTGTGCCGGGTCCATGATGTAGTGAGAAAACTTGCTCTCTCCATTTCTGAGAATGAGAATTTTGGGGCAGTTATAACTGGTGTGGAGACCAAATTAGATGATAAGACTCGGCGCACCTCAATCCATGAGTTCCATGATAGCTTCATGACTCAGATACAAAAGTCGCGCCTTCGCACCCTACTCATGTTTGGTATGGAAAAATTGCCCTATCCTCTATCCTCTTTTCTACCCAAATTTAGATTTTTAAGAGTCTTGGACATGGGAGGTGTTCATATTCCTAAACTACCTAATGAAATTGGGAAATTAATTCCTCTAAGGTTTTTAGGATTGAGGAATACAGGGATACAAGAGCTCCCTAAGTCACTGAAAAAGCTTCATAGACTAGAGACGTTGGATGTCATGGGAAGCAATTTGGAGTCATTGCCCTCTTCAATCTCGAGCCTGCAAAATCTGAACCATCTGCTTGTAAGTCGTAGGCAGTTTTCCACAAAGGAATTCATGACTGAATTGTTTGAATCTGACACAAACCTCCTTTATGATCAATTTGTTCCAACTAATGTTTGTATCAGGGGCAAAACAAGCCTTCATGCATTAAAATACATCAGAGTTGACAGTGCTCTTGTTAAAGAGTTGGCAGATTTGGTTCAGCTTGAGAGACTACATGTCCAACTAGTGAGAAGGGAGGATGGGAAGAAGTTATGGGCCAGCATTCAAAAAATGCAGCGCCTTCAGACCTTGGTACTACTATCTGTAGATCAACACGAACCCATGTTCATTGATTCATTGCCTTCTTTGCCGCCGCATCTAACCCAACTGCTCACTGATGTGGTTTTGGAAAAGCTACCAAACTGGTTATGCTGTCTTTCTAGCCTCACAGAGTTATGCCTAATTTCTTCAGCATTAGTGGAAGATCCACTTAGTGCTCTACAATCACTTCCCAATTTGGCAGTTCTAGTTCTTTCAAAAGCATATAATGGGAAGACCATGGGGGCTGATGGAATAGGAGGATTTCCCAAGCTCAAGTTTCTCATATTTCATAACTTGGAAGAATTACAGTGGTGGGGAGGAATGAAAGAGGGAAGCATGCCAAATCTCAAGTCCATGTATGTCATTGGATGCAAGAAGTTGAAGATGTTGGATGAAAGCTTTAAATTTCTGACTTCAATTCAATATTTCTTTCTCGGAAATATGCCAGAGGAGTTCGTAGCCAGGCTGAGATCTGATGGTGGGGAAGACAATTACAAAATTCAACACATCCCTGTCATTGAAATATTTTATTTGATTGATGGGGAGTTGGTCTCAAAGTACCTAGAGTGATTCTTGGGCATTTGGAAAAACATGCACAAAACCTGGATGCATATTGGTTTCTCTATATCAGTGTGTTTGAGGACCTGGAGAACGTCATTGCATGGTGCATCTCCCAAGAACATATACCTTGGTCTTGGACTTCTATCATGGATGAGATCACACAAGCCTTACAGAGTAGAGAAGTAATATTCAGGCATGTAAACAGAGAGCGCAATGGAGATGCTGATCGATTAGCCAAAGAGGCAACGTTGTCCTAGCTTTATGTACTCTTGCTCTCTTTCGTCCTGTCTCACCTATTTCCTTTGTTCTTCCTTTTTTTTGTATCATTTTAATGGAAATTTTCCGTCTTTTCTCTCCTTTTACTTTCACATTTTGTTTACCCTTGTACCTCTTAATTATCTCAGCGAAATTTACTTGCCGTTCAAAAAAGAAAAAAAAAGAAGACCTTGTGAAGTCCACTTGGACTCAGCTGAGTAACTTAGTCTCGGCATGGAGCCATGGCGAGTTTGTATTTACCAATTCGGGGTTGTAGGGATGTAATTATTTTTATGATATTAGTAGTACTAAATCACTAGGTTGTTAGGGGATATTTTGGCAATTTAGATGAGTGGCTTCAGCCAAATGACCTACCCCTGCAACCTAGGTTTATAGATCTTAGAAAAAATATTGGAAAACATTTAAATTCTTGATGTAAATTGTTGGAAGATTTAAATCATAGATTTTGGGTACACTCTATTTGAATGAGAATCTTGATAGGATCATGGTTATATCTGTAGAAGTTTACATGCATCTCCTCTTAAATATCCATTACTATACATATCCTTTTATTATCCAAAATGCTGTTTGCCACTTTGATCCAAATTTATCACTGAAGTGGAGATATTTTAGAAAAATAAAAAATGCTTAATATAAATAAAAAAAGTGTTGAAAAAAATAAAAAAAAGACAAAAAAAAAATCTACTAAAATATAAAAAGCATATAAAAAATGTTTAAAACAAAACACATTCAAATGAAGTTGAAAATTAATGTAAAAATGGATTTTAACGAATCGATTTTTGAATTAAAGTGAGTATTAATGACCTAACCAATTTTTACCATAATGTAAAGAATATTAAAAAATGCATTACAAACCAAATTCCTTATTTTTAGAAATTTATATACATTTTTTTTTAAATACCTGTCGATCACCAGTTGCTTGTTTTGATCTAATCGGGATGTTAGCGGTTAGATCACCCAGTTTTTCCAACAATGCTCTGAATGACAGAATCAGCTTTGAAATGATGTAATTTTTAACCCAAATGTGTATTTGGGGTGATCCAAAGCTTGAATTGAAGATATCTTCAAAGATATGCACCCTTATCTCTATGGTTGTTTCAGAATCTAGACATTAGGGCACTTCCCCCCAAAAAAGAATAATCCAGAGTTTGGGCTTCAAATTGTGGTTGAATACTTGCTGGGAAAATCAGTGATGAATTTAATTTTTTTGGTGTTAAAATTTCTAATAATTAATATTCTTTGATCAGAAAATTCACAAATAAAAATAAAAATTCTTTGACCAGAACCCATGAATTTCTAATATATGGATTAGAACCCATAGATTTTATCTTCTAGATTGATTTGGAAGCTTCTTTGATTGATCTAGAGTTAAAGTATGGGTAGATTAGGATTTGGTAACCACTGCAAATTGATACACTATCCATTGACCAAATCAATCAATTCATGTGAAATTTTTGGGTTTTCGCTTGTGGTGAGAAGCCTCTTTAGAGGAGAGATTCCTGAACTGTTTTTGTTGAGGAAATGGTTTTAGATCTCTAGCTTAGCATTTAGCAAATGCTATAAGTCAATGCTCTTTTCAAAAGAGTGATCTGTCCTACATTTTTGTGAGATGTCATATTGTTGTGGGTATTTAGTCATCTAGAATGATCAATCTTCGTTCTCATGTAAAATCTTCATGTGTAACAAGGACTCATCTATTTTCTTAATTCAAAGAGTGAAGGCATAAAGTAAATTTGTTATGAGAAGTTTACTCTTATGTGCAAGTTGTAGCTGTTTTTGTTTTGCTGACATATGCACTTGATTTAATGAATTGTTTGATGGTTCTATTCTTTTTGCCTGTTTCTTTGATACTATTTTGTAAATGAGTAATTTTAGTATTAAAAGTATTATTTCGTTTTGGCACAAGGAAAATTTATGAACATATGGTTGAGGTATTTTTATACGTTATTTCTGTTGCAAAGTTTATTTTTGCTTCATTGAGGAACCATATACTTTCTTTCTACCTAGGATCGTGAATTTATATATTGTAGCCATGGATATTAGTTTGATTATTCCTGTTGCTTATTCTAATACCCTTGCAGGAAGACAGTTGTTCAACATCTTCACGGTGTATACTGAGCTTTATTTTCAGTTTTCTCAGTAATATTATGGAGGAAGAGGATATAAAGAGTGTCACTGTTATTTGGAAGGGAAAGCAAATCACTGTAGAGACTAATTCAGGCTCTACTGTTGAAGAGCTTGGTCAGAAGCTGCAGACAGTGACGAATGTGAAACCTGAAACAATGTGGTTACTTGTTCCACGCTCTACAAATAATAGCTCCAAATTACTTTTACCATTCTCACATGAGCACTCAAAATTAAGCTTGCAAGAAACTGCTGTTCTCAAGGTAAAGACTTTATTTGTGATTCAGTGATAATATATCCATTTTCTTCTAGTAAACCTGATGAACAACTCTACTTCTTGTCTTTGCCTTATTTCTTTCATTTTTAATCATGCTATTATTGGAGTTATTGAGTTCGTTTCAATTGCATATAGCTTGTTTAAGTTGCAATTATTTGTTTGTAGAATGTAATGTGTTGTATGATGGTTTTATATTTATCAAGCTCTTTCCTTATTGTTTTTTTCCAGCTGTTTTAGCAATTAGATTGTTATTTGGGTACAAAACCAGGAGTTTAAATGTGGAGTCATCTTTATGCATGTTTTCTGAATATTGCAAGGATGTTTCTTAACTGTCTTCATTACTGTCTATTGTGGCTTCCCTTTGTCATAATGATCGTTATCTATTGGTCTCACCAATTCTAGATGGGATTTAACCTTGGAAGGCTTGATGTTCCGCATTTGATTTGTGGTTGTCCTGTACTTTCTCTAAATGCACGTTTTTGTGGCATATTTGTTGTAAGAAATATGTTTTTACTTCAGTTTACACAGGACATCTGAGGTGCCATCTAAGCTGATCATGTATGGATGCTGTGGCCCACCTTCTTGTTTTTTTCATGTCCCAGCTTGTTGCTTGTATGAAATGGCTTCTAGTCCTTTGGATTAAGTTAGTCCCTCATATCTGTTCTCTCTCATTCTGGTCACTAGTGGTACAACCATAGGGACTTCATATTATGTTGGCACGGACTAATTCCTCTCTCATTAACTTTTTCTCTTCTACACAATCATTCAGTATTCCATCTTTGTGGTGATGGAGTGGCCAGTTCTTTATGGAGCTGTATCCAGGCTGTAAAGCTGAACGCTAGTATCTAGGGAAAATTACAAAAAAACCCCAAGACTGAACAATTTATGCAACTTACCCCCAACCTAACCTTTTCTCTCAGTTTTTTTCCTACAACAAACTTTCTATGCAAATAACCCTCCCAACCCAAAAAAATAAAAAAAAGACTAAACTACCCTTAACACTATTCCACATGCCTCTCTCTCTTCGGCAGTAGAACCTGTGAGACACAATGCTCCAGTAGTAGCAAAGGGCGCTCCGGCTGTAGTGCTCCGGCAGTTGCAAAGGGCGCTCCGACAGTAGTACTTGCGGGACATAGCGCTCCCGTAGTAGCAAAAGGCTCTCCGGCAGTAGGAAAGGGCGTTCCGGCAGTAGCACTTCGGCAGTTGCAAAGGGTGCTCCGACAGTAGAACTGGTGAGACACAACGCTCCGGAAGTAGCAAAGGGTGCTTCGGCGGTAGGGCTCCAGCAGTGGCAAAGGGTGCTACTGTAGTAGAACTTGTGAGACGTCAAATCTCGCCAAATTGATTTTTTTGTATGGGAAGGGTATTTCCGTCTAAAAAAGGAACTTTTTACCTTGGGGGGGTTTTTGCATAGAAAGTTTATTGTGGGGAAAAAAGTAAGAGAAAAGGTTTGGATGGGGGTAAGTTGTATAGATAGTGTATTTTGGGGTTTGTTTTGTAATATTCCCTATTATCTATCCATCTATCTATGAATAATGTTTTGTTTTTTTAACTATGTACTCATCTACGTGAACAACCTTCTCTACATTGCATCATCTTATATTGCATCTTTACTGCCTATCCATATATAGTTCTCAGCAGGTGCTCGACCTTTTTACCCTGACATTGTCTCTCTTGTGTGGATTTCTTTCATTTATTTGGCTTTATAAGTGAGGAACATATCATTGGCCAAACTTCAATGAGTGTACATCAAATTGCAACTAGTGGAGCCAACTCATTTTTCTCCGCTCGCAAACAAGGTCTTATGCGTTTACTATGTCAAGCACTGTTTTATGTAATTTCATTGCTTTCATTGATTCTCTGTGTTCCCAAGGAATGACAAGGATATGAAGTTGTTTCATTTGTGATTAATTTTGGGAACCTATGAAAGTAATCCTGTATATTATTCATAATACTTTGGATCTTATCACCACAGATTCTTGAAACTTGTAATAGGGCATTTCTTGCATGCATGGAACTAGCTTGGCAAGTTGGCCCACAACTTGTTTAATCTTTATTCGATTCAGTCGTGTGGCCAGACAACTTGTCAAATGGCATGGTCATTCTTACTTGGTCAACCTCCGTGATCATTACTTGGCCAATCGTGTTTAATAGATACCCTATGATGGTTTCCTCAGGTTTGTCTAGTCTTTGAGGCCCAGAGCAAGATTGCTGACCTTTGCTTTCATTTACACTTGATCTAAATACCAATTTAGGATTGTACTAGGTATGAAAAAGCTATTAATGGTGCTCATTGGCAAGAGCAATTTGTAAAGAGTTCCATGCACTTGAGCAACTAATACTGGAGACTTTTTTTTTTTTTTACATAGAAATTCCCATATGTTCCCATCCATTAGAACTGTACATTACTATACTAGCTTGTCATCCTTTATGGATATAATGCAAAACTGGTTATGGAGGGTCTGTGTTGAAATATCGGATTGATTAATAGGAAACATTATTTCATATTTCCAAACTTTCAAGTGCTCAGGTATTGTTACTAGTAGCTATGAAACGATGATGGGATACCATGTGAGCATAACAATGCATTCATATGTATAAGGATCCATTGGCAAGCCCTAGTTATATGTCAGAGTCCTCTTTGCCAGTAAAAGAAGGCTACATATAGTTTCAAACAATTCCCAAGGTGATCATGTTCCTCCATTCTTCTCTATCAAGGGTCATACCCTTAGTAAGACCAAAAGTCACCATATCTTTTCTCATTACTTCTATCCATGTCTTTTTGAGTCTTTCCCTTGCCCTTTTAGAGTCTTCCACTTGAACCAAATCGCACACACCTTCTAACCTGTGTTGTATTAGGTCTACAATGCACATGACCAGCCCACCTAAGTCTAATTTTCCACATCTTATCGCCTATTGAAGTGTGGTTTAAGTGCATTGTGTTGACTTCTTTTTATGTGAAGCATTCCAAATATCAGATTCTTGTTCTCTGATCTTTGTACATAGCGTAATGATTAACTGGAATGACCTGACCATTATTTCTCATATTAAAAGTAAAATACTTCAAACACTTTTTTTTTTGAAACATATGGGGCATTTATCTTACTTTATAGAGAGTCACATTAACTATTCAACACAAGTATTTATAGACATCATATCTCGAGATCATTTGTCAAACTCTACAACCACTGGAGTTCCACTTGAACTTGATGCCAGGTATTTGATTGTGGAGCTGGTAGACTTCTTATTTCAGACGTTGAACCTTACCTGACTTTGCATCTGTTAGTTTTTTCGGTGGCTTTGTACTGTCCCCTGAGAGATTGCCTCTCGCTGTTATGCTTTGGAATATTCAGTATACTGTGTCTAAAAACATTAATGTTTTGCCTATGCTATCTTATCTGATTTCCAACTAATACATATGCCGAATTTGATTGAGCCGGTTTTCGAGGGATTAGTCAATCTACTACTGACTATAGCATCTTCTTTAGTCTTCCTTTTAATCCATGGTGCCACAAGAAGCATGGCGCTGTATCCTTGTTAAATGCTAAAGATGATTATAATCTGTTCATTACTTGAGATGAAACAGTTTGCCTTAGAGCTTGTTTTAGTAATTCTGGTGTCGAGATAGGAATGCTTACCTTTCCATGAAGATATAGTGCTCCACAAAGTTTGTTCAATTCAGTATTTCATGACAGGTCCAAGCATTCTGATGTAGAAGGTGATTTATCATAGGGAATGCATGCAGGGATCATCAGTTTGCCTCTATGTTACCTATACTAGTATAAAAAACTGACTTTTTCACTAAATCCTTGACCGTAGACACAGTTATTAGGGAAACAAACTTTTCAGTTTTTTCTATGAAGGGGCTTGATGCAGTGAAAATCAAACCAACAAGTAAAACAAGAGAAGTGGAAGCTCTAGTTTCTTTTCATAAAATAATTACACTCTAACATAATGTTTCTCATGGGCATTAGCCCCCTTTTAATACAAGCCATCAGAAATAAAATAAAAAGAATATCCTCTCTCTCAAAATTACGCAAAATCTCCTGATGTATATATTTTTGGGAAAATTACAAAAAACCTCCATGACTACACTTTCTATGCAACTTACCCCCAACTAAACTTTTTCTCGTCCTTTTTTATCCAAAACAAACTTTCTATGCAAATATCCCCCCAAGGGAAAAAGTTCATTTTTTTAGACGGAAATGCTCTTCCTGTACATAAAAATCAATTTGGCCATATTTGACGTTGACTTTTGGACCCCAGTTGCGCATTGCCGGAGCGTGCCATTGCATTGCCGGATCCAATATTCCATAAACTTTTGCCAGACCGCCCTAAGACACCTACCAGACCGAAACTAAGTACTGCTGGACCGCCCTTTGCAATTGTCAGAGCCCAGTGACTTCAGAAGTTCTACTGCTGGACCGCCCTTTGCAACTGCCGGAGCCCTGTGACTTCAGAACATTTACTGCCGGACCGTACTTACAAAGTGCTGGAGCCTTATGACTCCAGAGTTGCCGGACCGCACTTGCACAGTGTCGGAGTGTTGTGCTTACAGAGTATTCCACAGCCGGACCACAATTACATAGTGTCGGAGCCCTGTAACTCTAGAGTGTTTCACTGTCAGACCGCACTTACACAGTGCCGGAGTGCTTGATCCATTGCCGGACCGCACTTACACAGTGTCGGAGCCTTATTTTGGTGGGATAGAGGAGAGAGAGGCATGGGTAAAGTAAAAGTAAGAGAGGGTACTTTAGGCATTTATTTATTTATTTTTTAGTTGGGGGTATATGCATAGAAAGTATATTTTGGGGAAAAAAGTGAGGGAAAAAATTAGGTTGTGGGTAAGTTGCATAGAAAGTGTAGTATTGGGGGTTTTCGTAATTTTCCCTATATTTTTTTGAACTTCACGTGACTCCCTCCTTTCCATCTTTAAACACCTACTTTCTCTCCTTCTAGATCCATCAATCTAGAAAATATTCTCTCTCTCCTAGGTAAGATATTCTCTACAAAATCCCATAAAACTAGGAAATCACTCTATCCCGTAAAAATAGTAACAAGCCCACCATCATAATAGGATCTCCCTTAGCACCTACGTAATCTACTCCCAAGTATTCATTAAGTTATCCTTTTATGGAAATGGAAGTGCTATCATACGCTAGAGTAATCCTTAAAAGGGATTACTCTTATCCGAACCAAACTATTAATGATTTTAAGATAATGATCTGACATATTTTTTCAAGGAAATCCTAGAGGAAGATCTAGATGGTAAGAAGTGGGAGAACAACCTCAATCTGTACTGTGATAGAGAAAAGCTTTCTAAAAAATGTAACTTACGAGCCTTTCAAACAACTTTTTAAAAAATACTCACATTTCCTAAAAAACATTGACTCTTATTATCTTTGTTTTTTTTTTTTTTTAAACTTGTTAACATACTTTATCAAACTAACCTAAAAATCCTATTTCTAACCATTGACCCTAATAACATAAAAATAAAAATGCACCCATAACTCTAAAAATAAAATAAAAATAAAAACAATAATAAATTTTTGAATCAACCCATTCTTGATCTACATCAGGGCTATTAAGAGATATCTAGTTCTATTTCCATTTATCACATTAAAAGGTTATTTTGGTAATGAGGGGTGGTTTAGTCTCTTTGTTGTGGCCATTTGTACATGTAAGCATATTTACTCACATAACTGTAGTTTAAGGAACAACTTTCTAATAAATAAGCTCTTGTGTTCACACATCTTTTGTTCTCACGCTACCAAATTCCAAACTATCCATTCCTCCCAGAATCATTGGCTTCCATTGCTTTAAACTACAAGAAGAGACTTATTTTTTGAGGAAACAAATATCTGCAGAGGAATTTATCTTAAATTTTTGCTCTAAATGGTTCTTTTCAATTTGATGTTTTTGGTGTAGCTTAAATACTGAAAAGTTGTAATAAAGTCTGGACGCTCAAAGAAAGTAGTCAGATCGCTTGGGCCTTAGATAATGTTTACTTCTTTTCCATTTACTTTGAGTATTTCTTTTTTCCTCTTTCAAAGTTACATAACATATATATTCTGTGGTTCAAATTATTTGCAGTGTTTGAAATTAGAGTAGTATTTACATTGTTCCTTAGTAGATTTATCCATCACTCGTAGATTTGCCTTATGTTTCAAGCGTCTAATAGTTTTAGACACTTCTTGGCAATTTAACTTGAGTGGCACTGACTGACTTATTTGTGAGTTTATTACAAAGTTGGATAAAGTTGTTTAATTTATGTGGTCTCAATGGATTTGTGGAATATTTGATTGTTTACTGCTGATTATGTTGTCAAAGATAATTGTTTTACGTAGAACATTGTTTTCTAATTCCATTTATATGTTTATGTAATTCCTTTTCCCTCATCAAGAAAATGGGTATATGTGTAATTCCATTAATACAACATTCTATGCGTACTCAATTGGGAAGTATGTAGGCAGGTGATTAATGGAACCGTTCTTTGTGTTTATTCTTGTATTATTTTTGTTACGGCAGTGGAAATCTATTCGGATGATGGGAGTGTTTTCAGATGAAATTGAAGAGGTTTCCCATGATAGTTCTAAACCAGATCTAACGATCGCTGGATTTGATGAAGAGGAAAAGAGATTAAGGCAACGCACATTTGGGAGGCCCCAATCTTCATTGAGACTTCCACAAGGACCTTATATCTTTTGTGATTTTTGCACACTCAGCATTCCAGGAATTCAGGTTTGTGTATTGCTTAATCTTTCTAGAAAATCAATCGAAAGAATAGTAGCCTACTTTGTAAAGATAGCCATAATATATTACAGTTAAGACCCCTTACAGATATTCAGATACTTAAGAAAACATGTGATTCCAAGCAGAGCCAAAAGATTTCCTTATGGATAAGGCATATTGCTTTAATAGCCAAAAAGATCCCACTTTCAATAAGAACAAAGAAATAAAATAATGCAACCAAGATTGCTAGCCTTCCTCATTATCATTGGAATAGTAAGGGCTAGACCATTTTGGGATGGACATGGTAAATATGATTCTTTATCTTTTTCTTCTCCTCAATGATAGGTTGGGAAATTTGTGTCCTCGCCATTTCATGGGTTCTGTTATCATAGGAATTAAGTTGACTGAATAGCTGCATGGGTTTTTCCCTATGCAGTTTATTCCAGTAAATAAACTATGTACATTTCTATGAAAATTGCCTATCACTTGCATGATAGGATGGAAATTTTCCCTTGTAATGTTTATGTCAGTAGTAATCTGACTTGAGTCTTTGTTTTCCCCTCAGATCAAACCAAAGAACTTTCCTTTAAGGGCGGCACATCTTTATGCAAGCTGTAATTGCCCATGAACTCATCCATTTATCACTAACAGTAGAAAAAGCCCCTTCTGCCTTACAATCATAAGGCTTTTGACAAGGATAATGAGGACTTCCTCTTATGTGAACTTAAAAGATATGGTTACAGGGAAACCTTTATCAATTGGATGAAATTGTTCAACTCTTACCCTAGGTATTCCATTGTCCTAAATGAGACCACCCTTTGGTTACTTTAAAGAAGAAAATGGGTTAAGACACAGCGACTTGCTCTCCCTTATCTCTTTGTTCTAGCCATAGAAGGCTTTAGCAAGATCATTGGCAAGGAGGCAAGAGGGGGGAAATTTCTACCACCTAAGATTCCGAGGGTCACATCCACCCCTTTCCACTCAGTCTATGCAGGTGACCTTCTTGCTTTTGGCAAAAGTAACCCATGAACCTACCAGTCCCTTAAAACCACCCTTTTGGAACTGCAATGCTCGGTGCTACCCCCAACTTACCTTGGTTTACAACTATTCGAAGGGAAACTCACCTTCTGACTTTGCGAAAACTTTATAGACAAATTTGTGCCTAGGTACAAAGGATGAAAAATTGAAACCCTTCAACACCAAGGAAGACAAGCCCTCATAAAATCACACGTCAACCTAATTGTACATCACCGGTGTTCTATATACAAATGCCCCTCCATCACAACCAATGCTCTCAAAAAACTCCAAAGGGACTTCCATTGGGGCAACCAACTTAACCAAAAACATCCAAGCCTTGTCAATTGGAACTCATTTGTAAACCGAAGCATGAAGGTGGGCTTGGTATCAAAAGAATCAAGGAAATCAACCAGGCCTGTTTGTCATGCTGGGATGGAAGCTGGTGAGCTGAGAAGATATTGTGTGTGACACTAATTACTAAGAGTTACATTAGGAGATGCCAATTGTGGGATTCTAGGACATAAGGAGAGATTCATGGGAAAAGGCATATATTGCAGGATATCAAACATAAAAAAGCACTCCATTGAGTAGAGTACAATGATGGGATGAAAGATATCAGCCAGTTTCCCTCTTAATATGGATGCTTCTCCCTTGAAAGTGTCTATGAGGTGATTGACGAACACAGGAGCAGCAATGATGTCCTAACAGCAATATGGAAAAGCTTGATCCACCCTAATGTTTCCTGGTTTACTTGGTTGGCATACCAAATGAGGATGCTCACTTGATCCACCCTAATGTTTCCTGGTTTACTTCATTGGCATACCAAATGAGGACGCTCACAAATGATAGACTTTAAGGATGGGGACCCCCATTGGAAAACGCATGCTACTCGTGCAAATCAGAAAGGAAGAGCTATGACCACTTGTTCACATCTTTCACCTTTGTTAATTACCTGCATACCATGTTGTGGAGGTTTAACACAAGCCTTAAGACCCAGAGCCTAATAGCAAACTGGTTCCAAAAGAAATTCCGTAACAACTTCCTTGACAAACTTTGGAAGGTCTCTCTCCCTACCGCGACACCAGACATATACATATCTCCCCCTCCTCCCACACCCACACACCCACATACACACAAAAAAGGAAGAAGAAAAAAACCCAAAATGGAAAAAAGGGAATATCTTGAGCTCATTTACAATAGATGGGAGTTATGGCCCTCACACTGAGAGCTTTGAGTATATAATTCTGTGTGATGAAGTGAGGAGACTTGTATGTTGGGAGATCTTGAGAGCCCCGTACATTTCAGTGTTGTATGTTCCCTTTTGTACATTTCTCAAACAATACAATGGGTGGGGTACCGGCTGAAACCCCTTGTCATACTTATTGGGGTGAAAAAATAGTAATTTGATATGAATGGCACAGACTGCTATGAAGAAGAGCATGAACTGGATATCAATGTGCCTTGTTTTTCCTTTTGATCGATAAGTGGATATCCACATGCCCCAAACTATAGGCAACAAATTTTTCTGACAGCAAGAAAATGCCATTCTTCACAATTGAAGATTCTTGATTTTGTGATATTTTTTTTGGTCATTGTTGAATACCTCAATAGAATGGAAAAACTATAGTTGTTGGAAATGCCTTGTGATCTAGTAAAATAGGATTCATGTGTCTTATCTTGATAGAATTGGCATTCCATCAATTTGGAATCAGTTTCCTGCTTTTTTGGAGTCACGCATCAATCCACTGTGATTAATGCCATCCAGAATCACGATCTGATAAAATAGGAATCTTGATTCCTATACTGTTTGAATCACTGTTCCATCGATTTGGAGTCGAGATTCCTATCATTCAGGAATCACACACCAATCCACTAGGGACCATGCCAAAAGTTTTAACGAGACAAGATTTAGAGTTTCATATTATTTATAAGCTTGAATTCCGGGTTCCATATAGTCAGTACGATTATCCAGGGCTCCTATATTATTTGGATTGATGTCTTTATGTATCTACTTTCTAGGAGCTTCTAGAACTGCAAGAAAACAATATGTCGTACGTGTTTCTCATGCTTATTTCAAGGACGAAATAAGGAACTGTGTTTTCTAACTAGAAAAGAGTCTTTGACATGTGGACCTCAAGCTCTTAGAGCATCATATGCTTCGATGCTTTATTGAAAAACCGTTGAACATCGGGGTCTATCGGAAGTGAGAAACCAAACCAATATGTTGTATGTGTTTTTCATGCATCTTTTGTTGTGGAAAGAAAGATATGCATCTTCTCACCCAAAAATGAGTCTCTATGATGTGGACCTCAAGCTGCTAGAGGGCCATGTGCTTCATCGCTTGAAAAACCCTTTCAACACATCATGGTCTATCAAAAGTGAGAAAGAATTTCTAATTTCGTGAGGAGGGTGATGAAGTGGTTAAGTACTTACCATTCGTACCCGCAAGGCTCAAGTTGAAGATTCTGGTTGAGGACACTTAACTACAAAAAGACATCGCTATCAATAAATCTAGAATTTGCATTTGAATCTTGAATCCATGTTATTAGAAGTTCGATTCCATGTTGATCAAAACATTGTTTGGTGCATCTATGAACCCGGGTTCTGATGTTGTGGATCTAGCTTCTAAATGATTCACTATTCCTAAAAAATGGGATCAGGGTCTCATATATGAATCCCAATCTTGTGCACCTATGGATCACATATTTTGTGAGATGGAATCTACATTCCCAACTTCTAGGGATCGGGATTCCAAAAGTTTTTTGGAATGAGATTCGAGGAATTTGGAATCATGATTTTTATATTCTAAGAATCACGATTCATCCTGGGAAATGCAGAATCGTGATTCCAAACCGGAATCGTGACCTCGATACACGATTGGGGGGACTATAGGCAAAACTATACCTTGTTTTCTTTGGTATAAAATGTAACCCTAGGCCTAATTGGGTATTACCATATTTCTTAAATTTGGAACATTTAGGTATTTACAGTTTTATGGATCTTAATTTAAAAGGAATACTACTATCATAGGCTTTACAATGTAAAAGTTTGTATTGTAGCAGATCCAGCGAAGGAAACTACCATAGTCAGTTTGTCTTCTACTGCATGGATTCATTTAATCATGGAGAATGATTGGATTTGTATTGTTAATTCCTTTCAGTTGAGTCCTCCACCCACTGAAGTGTTACAAAGAATGCATATGCTTGCTAGTGATCCGGGCATTGTTGCTATCATGAACAAGGTGCTGATTCTATTTCATCCATTGAGTTTGTCATCCGCTATTTATTTCATTAACAGTCTGTCTTGGATGTTTATTTTTCTGACTAGTGTTCTTTCGTTAATTAGCATAAATGGCGGGTAGGAATTATGACAGAGTTAGCTCCAGTTGGCTATGTTGGGGTCAGTCCTGAGTGTATTCTTGGATTTAACAAGGTGCCTCCCTCAAGCTATTTCAATTTAGCTTCAGGAACTGGATTGATTATTCTAATGGTCTGGTTATCATTCTTTATTTGAATGAAAATCCATCTTTTTACAGAATCATGGAGAGGAAATTTCACTTCGGCTCCGTACAGATGACCTCAAGGGATTCAGGAAATATGAGAGCATAAAGAAGACTTTGTTGCATGAGCTTGTAAGGCTTGATCCTGGAACATGTCTTCCTATAGTTATCTTTAATCTTCTTGAATTGGTGTCATAAGTGCTACTTGTCAGTATATTTGTCTTCTGATTTTATTTTATTTTTTATGTTTTTAGGCCCACATGGTACACTCTAAACATGATACGAACTTCTATGCCCTTGATAAGCAGGTAACAAGGAGACTTCTCAGGTTTAAATCTATTTATAATTAGATTAAATACCATTACTTAATATTTTAATTCCTTGTGTACAGCTGAATCAAGAAGCTGTCACTTTAGATTGGACAAAATCTAAAAGACATACCTTGAGTGGAACCAGTTCAAAAGATGATTATGAATGGGAAACCCAGATAGAAAGAGTTCATCATGCTCCAAAGCTTGGCGGTAGAAGTCTTAATCCAGGCATTCATGTACGAGAATCTTCAGTGGCTGCTGCCTATATTCGATTATTATAGAACTCCTCTGATAATGGTTCCGAAGAACCCAAGAAACAGGCTGATGCTATGGAGATCGACTCTTCCAATATGAATTCTAGTGGTTTTGTGAATATGGGAGAGCCTGATCCTGATGATGGGGATTCGGTGAAAAGTAAAAAACTGACCCTTGGCCATGAGGAGCCTGATCCTGATCCTGATGACTGTTGCCTCCCAAACAGTAGCATCATGGAGTATATGAACACATCATTGCCAGATCCTGATGGTTTTTGTGACCATAAAATAAGCGAGGAACCTGATCTTGATGATTTGTGTGACCATAGGCAAAGAGAAGAACCTGATCCTGATGATTTGATTGACCACAGGCGAAGAGAAGAACCCGATCCTGATGATTTGTGTGACCATAGGAAAAGAGAAGAACCTGATCCTGATGATTTGTGTGACCATAGGAAAAGAGAAGAACCTGGTCCTGATGAATTCAGTACAAAGAAGGGCATTTTGAAACATGTGTCTGAACCTGATCCTGATGATGATGAGATCCATGAGGAGCCTGATCCAGATGAAACAAACAGCAAGGTTTTGGGAAATGAGTTAAAAACCAGTGAACCTGATCCTGATGACACTGGTGTAAGTGAAGCCATGGCAATTGAACCTGATCAAGATGATACTCAGGACATCTCTGAGGGTTTCAAGCCTGATCCAAAAGAGCATTTAGAAACACAAATCAATGAACCAGAACCTGATGATTTTGAAAAGGCAGTAATCAATGAACCAGACCTTGATGATTCTGAAAATGCAAGGACCAGTGAACCAGATCCTGATGATTTCGATAAAGCAGGGACGAATGAACCAGACCCTGATGATACTGAAAAGGCAGGGGCCAATGAACCAGATCCTGATTATTCTGATAAAGTGGGGACCAATGAACCAGTCCGTGATGATTCTGAAAATGCTGAGACCTTTCAAGCAGAAGGCATGGACTTGGATGAGCTGAGAAGGATTCAAGATTCTGTTACCATTGTCACCACCCGCCTTCAAAGTTCAATTGAGAGGCTGAAGGCCGAAGCTTCTCCCTTCGAGGCTGCTTCAGTTATTTTGACTCTGTTCAAGATTCTTAGGTGTATGGCATGCTTATTCACTAACTTCAATAACTCAAAGCGAAGTCAAAAGTCAGTCACTGTGAAGAACAATTGGAGTAGAGGAGACTAATGTTAGTGACTTTTCGGATCACATTAACTTTTTTTTTTTGGATAGATTAACTTCTTTTGGGAAATTCTGAAGAAATTTAGAAAATATAATAAAATGATATTTAAAATATGTTTATTTTTTGGTTATTTTGCCTCTTTCAAGATTGATAAGTATGTGACATGGACATTCACTATCTTCAAGAACTCGAGTATGTCCAACGTCAAGCACTGGGAAGAACAACTTTAGTCGATGTGTCGAGACTGATGTTGGTGACTTCTCTATATAAGTTTTTTTTGTGATAAAATAACTTTTCGTGGAAGAATAAAATAAATAAATAAACATAATAAAACGATATTAAGATCTGAGTAATTGTATTTACATTTATTAATCTTTCATATTAGTATTGATGAAAAGTGATAACATAGAATTTGGCTTTAGTTGCGAAAATGAACAGATGTGAAAATTTTAGAATTCAAGACTGAAGGATTGCAAGTCACAGAAGATAAGGTTACACCCCCATCTCGACCTGTGTTGCACGATTCAGATGATTTGGGTTGCCTTTCTAAACGTAACCAAGTCAAAAGCAGTTTTAGGAGTTCGCAGAAAAGAGTAGGATTTGCTAATATAATAACAAAGTTTAGAAACGTGATCTATACAATGGGTGTTTCAAAACTGCGTAGGTGGGTGGACCATCCACCCCACAAATCCATGTTTGTAAACTAGATCGGTGATCAATCTAAATCGGTTTGTTTCGACTATCTAGAGAAATATTTAAAATTTAAAATAAATATAAAAATAAAATATAAGTTTATAAGGTGGAGATTTATAGGGACTCAAGAAAATATTAAATAATAGAAAATACTGGCATATGCTTACTAGCCTACAAGTACATATAGGCCAAGAGCCTAGATTGAATCTGGACAGATCCAATGATCACGATTGCATTTCATATTTGAATTTTAATTTTTTTATATATATCCAAATCGTTTTAAATTTTGGACATGTGTTCTTTAAAAATATTAGAATCCAATAAAAAATCAAAAAATTATTTCGTGAAAAATAAATTGACCAAAATACCCCCAAAATATTACAAGGGTATTTTGATCAATTTATATTTTATGAAATATTTTTTTAATATTTTTATTAGGCATGCATTGATGAGAAGGACAGACGTCTAAAATTTCACATGATTTGGATTTGTACAAAAAAAAAAACTCAAATAGGAAATGAGATCGTGTCCGTCAGTACGTTCTAAATTGTTGGGCCTATATGTAGTTGTAGGCTAATGGGCCTACACCAATATTTTCCTTAAATAAATATCGAGAAAAAAGAAAACAATGAAATCAAGTTTTAGAGAGAATTAGCTTGGACTAATGCCTTTCCAAAACTAGTTGGGTCATGATTAATTCTAGAGCGAAATTAGCGATTATTGATTCAGATCACCAAATTTTAAAATCGGCATTTTCAAAATGCCATTTTATTGTGTGGAGAAAGTAGTGAACATGCCAAAAACCAGTTCAGATTGGTGATCTAGAAGTTCAAATCACCATTTTACTGTAGAGAATTGTCGTTTTACTGTGTGGAACAGTTGATTCCCTTCTAGACTTGGTCATTTTCCTATATATATACAAAACCATAATAAAGTGACCGATTCCTAGGTCGGACCGAACGTTTAGACCCAACTCAAGACCTGAGGAATAGACCCAATCGAGGTCCGGGTCCGGGTCCAAATATTGGACTCGAACACTATTCGAGTGGGGGTCCAAACGGATCTAACTGGCTTTAGGTCCAAATCCGGTAATAATTTTTGGGTCCCTTTATATAAAAGGAAAAGTTTATATAGAGCCTAGGCTCTAAACGATCAAATTTGAGCTTATCTCAAAATTTTCACTAGAAGAGGTCGTTTGATGCCCAAGTATCTTCAAATCGATCATCTCGACATCAAGATGCATGGACATGAGAAAAAAATGGATTTCAAGTTTTGAAAATAGTGTATTTTGTAACATGTTTTGGACAGTCAATTTTCAAGAAATTCAAGTTTTCATAGGTCTGTCGATCTATACTAGTTTTGAAGCTTTAAACTTTATAAATAAATATGAAAATATATTTTAAGGCTATTACAAAGATTTCCAATATTAAAACGACATTTCTTGAAACTATTTGAAGGTAGGCTCTACTTTGATTGTTTAGAGCCTAGGCTCTATACAAACGACACCCTATATAAAACGACCCGGTCTCTATATGGCCAAGCTAGAAATGCTGGCCTCTTAATAAATCTATTTTTGAGATGTATTTTAAGATTTAATTTTTTAAGACATGTAATCTCTAACATGGAGATCATGAATATGAAAAAATAAATAAATGTTAAAAATAATAATTCTAGCAAGATAATATTTGGATCATTAGTTTTTATTCTTTTCACTTGCATCCATCTTTAAGATGGATGTTTTACACTTTTTGGACTGCACATGCAGAAATGTGGTCCAACCCTTTCCTATATAAAATATATTTAAATGGGAAAAGTTTATATAGAGCCGAGGCTCTAAACAAACAAATTGGAGCTTATCACAAAAATTTCACTAGAAGTTGTTTTGATGTCCAAATATCCTCAAATTGATCCTCTCGACATCAAGATGCATGGACATGAGAAAAAAATAGATTTCAAGTTTTGGAAATAGTATATTTTTGTAACACATTTTTGGACCGTCAATTTTAAAGATTTTTCAAGCTTTCATAGATCTATTGATCTATACTATTTTTGAAGCATTAAACTTTATAAATAAAGGTGAAAATATATTTTAAGGCTATCACAAAGATTTACAGTATTGAAACTACATTTCTCGATACTATTTGAAGGTAGGCTCTAAGTTGATTGTTTAGAGCCTAGGCTCTATACAACCCCCACCCCATTTAAATATAGTTCACTCCATAGATATTTTAATTTGGAAAAAGTTTACATAAGGTTGCAACCTTATAATGTAGAGCTCTGGATGCACCTCAAAAATCATCTAAAAAGGTATTTTTAATGTTGAAAAACCTTTAGATTGATCATTTCAATAGGACCATGAAAATAAAAAGATTTTAAATCTCATAGTACATTTTACAACATTTGTAAGTATACACCGTTCATTTGTAAGATTTTCATATGTTTAACTATTTTTAAAATTTAAAATTTTATAATAAGATATAAAAATAAATTTTAAAATAATCTTAAACATATTTTACATCAAAATTATATACAATCATAAAATTTGAAGGCACACCTCACATCCACGCTACGGATGCATCCGTGTATGCGAACTGTAGCCTTTTAAGTTTAGGTGCGACCCCTAGATTCTGGGTAGACCCTGGAATCTATTACTTATAAACTTGAGGGGTACTTTCAATATGACAAACAAAAATTCTACCACAAAGAGAAATGACACGTACAATAAAATCAAGATGGCCGAAATCATTTATCATTTCGGACCGTAATTTCGTGGATAATTTCGCCGTTGACTTCATAGATGTAAACGCGGAGAACGTGGGAATCTGCCCTTTCGTTACGGACAAAAGAAATCGTTCCTTTATTTCAAAATGAATCAGAATCAAAACGCAAACGAATTTGATTTGAATTTCGCAGCCGCCTTAACCCCAAGTCTTATTCTCTTGGGTTTTCAATTTTCATGGAAGATAGGTGGTTAGGTTTCCGTTGCACCGGATTGTTCTTCTTCTCTTCTGCTAGATTCGAAGAAAGGAGGAATTAAAGATCAGTGTTTGCGAAATTAGGGCTCAATTTCGTCATTTCTTTTTATCCGCAACTAGTAAGTGTTTGTTTGAGCTTTGGGACTGAGTTTTCTCAAGATCTGGTTCAATGGATCCTCTCCTTTCCAGGTATTCTTCTTCTCTCTCTAATATGGATCATGGGTACCACCACAATGCCACCTTTAATGGAGTTCACACACAGCCACGCCATTATTCCAGTCAAAATTATGCCGAGGCACAGCACCTTATCCCCCATGACCTTAGAATTAGGGCAATTAGGGCAGTGGGGGAACGACCCGTTGATAACTTGCTTGGGGTATTCGAAAGGGGTCATAGAACCAATCCTCCAAGCCATGGTCCAGACGTTGGATATAGGGATGAATATTGCCAAAGAAGAGGGTCAATTGGAAGAAACCAGATGCCTGAGGGCTTAAGCCATGGAACATCAGCTTCAGATTGGGATAGGGCTAGAGAACATGGTTATCATAGGAATCGGGAAGGGCATATATACTTTTCGTGTAGGGAAAGTAACTGTTCTTCTGGGCATGGCGACAGTTTGGATCCTTATCGAGAAGGTTATCGGCCTCCACCAAGTGGAGACACTGGTTCAATTGGTGTGCTTGGGAAGAGATATAGAGGGGAAGAAGTTAGGGATTCTTGGATGAATGAGTATGATGGGCGATTTAGAGCTGATCAATTTGATTCTGGGGCCCAGGGTTTTGAACCTTGCAGCTTTTCAGAAGAGCTTAGGGAAGTTTGCACGAATGGGTATGTTAAGCCTTTCAGAGCTGATCAATGTGATTATAGGGCACAGGGTTTGGAACCGCCGAGGAATTCGGCAGAAATTAGGGAAGGTTGGACAAACAGGTTAGATAAGCCATTTAGAGCTGATCAATTTGATTCTAGGGTGCAGGGTTTTGAAACTCCGAGGAGTTCAGAAGAAGTTAGGAAATGTTGGGCAAATGGCTATGATAAGCGATTCAGAGCCGATCAAATTGAATCTAGGGCACAGGGTCCTGGGCCTCGGAATTTTTCGGAAGATTATGAAAAGCGATTCAGAACAGAGCAATTTGATTCTAGGGTACAGGATTTTGAGCATCGGAGTCGTTCAAGGTCCCCTTCTAATATGAAGTGTGTGGAGAGGGATAAGAATCATTTTCATTCTTCTCGGAGAAGGGACAAGAACAACAGGTTTTCAGACTCGTTTCAAAGTCCTTCTACTTCCAAAGCTTGCTCCAGTTTCCGTGAATTTGCAGAGAGAGAAACAAGAGGTTCCCCATTGAGGTATTCTGGTCAGCATTCTCACAGTAGCCATGGATTTAGTTTAATAGATGGCCAAAATGGGGGGTTTGCAAAATTCAGCCATAGGATTGCTTTGGAGAAGAAAAATGACAATGCCTCTTCTAAAGAATTTAGTACGTTTGAATACACTGATAATAATCATGCTTTAATAGATAAACACAAAGAATATGACTGTTCAACCAGGGATTTGGCGATAAGCACCCCAGAGCAAGTTGGATCTGGAAAAAAGAAGGAAATAGTCGAAGATTGTAATGCTTCTTCTAGGGTTCAACGAAATAATGTTAGGGAGAAAGGCAAACGTCTTGTATCCCATTCTGAACAGAAAAGTCTTGAAGTCCTCACCGGTAAAATCCATGTAGAAAGAGCAATGAGAAGGTCTGTTACACCCGAAAATAAGACACTGGACTGTGAAGAGTTGCCTTGCAAGCGAGGGGTTGTGATTGCAGACAATAGGGTGGCTACAAATCCTTTTGTTGAATCTAAATGTGATGGTTCAAACTTGAGCAGTAAAACCCATGAAGAAGTTACAACAAATAAGTCAGCTACACCAGAAAATAGGAATCTGGGTATTGAAGAGTCCCTTTGCAAGTCCAGAGTTGGTATGTCAGACAATGGGGCGACCGGCGGTCTCTCTGTTACATCCAACTTAAATGCTTTAACCCTAATGAGTAAAAAGGCCCATCTAGAAGTTCTTCGGAAGAGGTCACTTACACCAGAAAATAGGACTCTAGATATTGAAGAGTCGTTTTGCAAGTCCAAATTGGAGATCTTGACTGATGGTGTGGGGACAGATGCTTCTCTTGCATCCACCTCTATTTGTTTAAGCCTCACAAGTAGAACCGATGTAGGTAGTGTCCCAAAGCAGACAGTTACATCCGGCAATATGATTTTGGAGTTTGAAGAGTTGCCTTGTAAGTCTGGACTTGAGATTTTGGACAATGGAGTGGCCACTGATCTTTCTGTGATATCCAAATCTGATGGATTAAGCCTTACCAGCAAAACCCATGTAGAAGTTGCACCACAGAGGTCAGATGCACTGGAAAAAAAGACTCTGGACCATGAGGCGTCAGGAATTGAAAATTTGGACAGCAGGATGGTTACAGATCTCTTGACTATACCCAAATCCGATGCCCTGAATACCCAGGGGACATTAGCCCTAGTGCCTTCTGTAGTTCACAATGGAAAGTCCTGTGTAAAGGAGGAAGAGAAGGAGAAGAAGAAGAGGGAAAACAAGAAAACTATAGTCTCTGACTCCGTTCTCATGGTTTCTGAAGTTGGTAAAACAAAAGGAGGAAAGGGAGTCCGAGACTTGTGTCTTGTTCCTGATGTCACTGCTGCAGGCCTTGTTGGTGAAGGTCGTACAGCATCTGCAACTGTATTGCAAAATGGGTCTACTGATCATCCCAATCCTAGTGGAATGAGATTAGAAGTTCCTGCTATTGCTGATGGTAATGCTTGTGCGAAGGTGTTAGAGATGAAGAAGAAGAAAAAGCGGAGGAAGAAAAAGAACATTGTAGTCTCTGGTTCTGATCTCAGCTGTTCCGAAGGGGGTAGAACAGAAGTAGGGAAGCAGATCCGAGATCTAGGTCTTGTTCCTGAAATCACCGTTGGAGGTCATGTTGGTGAATGCTGCACTATAGATGCAAATTTGAAGCAAAATGGAAACGATCCATTTGATCCCAGTGCTATGGTTGTGGAAGATGCTTTAGTATCCCAGGATAAAGATGGTGGCAATAAGTTCAACTTTGTTATCCTTATGGATGGAGGAGGTCGCAAAGAACCAAATTGTGATTATCAACAGAGTAGTGAGTATGGTATCATGAAGACATCTGCTACTGATAAACAGGATGGTTTCATTTCAATTGAATCTAATGATGAAAGCTTTTTACATTCTGTTAAAGATGACTGCCTCGATCCACTGAAATTGCAAGTAATGACACCTGAGCCGGTGTATGTTTCATCTTCAGAAATCCAATTTTCAGGTCCAGAGAAGCACTTGGGCCATGAAATTGTGGAGAGTGACAGCCATAATGTTATTACAAAGAATTGTGTGTCTCAAAGCGAGGATCCTATTGCAGAGCACTTTGAAAGGGAAGATTTTGAAAACTTGCCAGAAACCCCTGAATTGGAATTCTCAGTCTCCCCTCCTGCATTTTCAGAAGCAACAATTATAAGGACAGAAGAAAAGCCTTCTTCCGGTTGTGATGACAAAAGCTATTTCATGGATAACCCACATCATCCTCAAACGAAGTTAAAAACTGATAGTGGTATGCTTGTAACTGCCAATGATTTGGTGGTTTCTTGTCATTTGGGTGCACAAGCAGAAACTGGTGGTGAAAACCAAAATCATAGTAAGTTCGTTGACCAAGTGAGGACCAAGAACGTCTCACGTCCTGTTTCAGCGCCGGCAAGGGTTTCTGATCTGAAAGAAACTGGCGTAGGAATGATCAACAAAACACGCCAGACCACAGAGATGCCTCGTTTGGCAGGGGCATTTTTTGCATCACGGTCATCAAGTAATATAATGAGGCCTCGAACTTGGCATCGAACTGAGAACTCTTCTGGTTCTGCTTTACAAGGACAAACTATTCTTTCCATTGGCGCTCCTTCAGGAAAACAGGCATCAAAAAAATTTGAAAGGCATCAGAGTACCTCTTATATTCGTAAAGGAAACAGCCTGGTGAGGAAATCAGCTGCTATGTCCACCGTCAGCAGGGCATCATCAATTGGTCAGGGAGTCTTTGCTAATCTAACAATGCCAGTGGGAAATCCCTTGGATAAGAAGTCCTTACCTGTGGGAAGATATAACATCAAGAACAGTGAAAGTTGTGAGACCAAGAAAGGGACTACAGATCCTTTGGCTGGTAGTAGAACTGGTAATACAACTTTGGAAAGCCCGAATATACTTCCTCTGAACCAAGGTGGCAAATCATCGAGCTCCACCGGTAAATCTCCTAAGATTTCTCCCTATTTGACTTCTTCTGCAACTGGTATAGGTATTGCAACATCTAGGATATCAGATTCTAGTGGACTTAAGAGTGACTATGCACAGCAATCCATCAGAGATGCTGAAGATTCACCAGTTGATTTGCTTGTTAGCAAAATGTTGACTGGGAGGAGTTTCTCAAATGAAGAATTCTTGAAGCCCTCTGCACCCAAGCAGATGACATATATTAAGCCAAAGCTGAATCAGTTGGTTGCTGCCCCCAAAACTAATATATTGAGCTCATCTGTAAACAACAATCAAAAGACTCAGACGCTATCGCAGTTTCCTCTACCTAATTCCTATGTCAAGAGGAAGAAGAATCAGCTTGTCCGGAGTGTTGATGCTTCAGTGAATAAAAATGCTCATGCTTCTGATGCTTCTGATGATGGTTGTTTTTCTGGTGCAGAGGAGAAGAGCCTTCCTAAGCTGCTTACTGAAAATCCAAGAAATTCCATTCACATAAAGCCAAATAAAGGTTTCTTTTAGCTTCTTTAGTGAGGGCTTGATTCTGATTCTTGTAGTGATTAACTTGTGGTGCTTTTGCTCTTCTCCTTTATTTAGTTCAGATGCCTAAGTAGATTCCTAAGAGCAATTTATTAATATATAGACTCATTTTTGTGTACTCGGCAAGATCTTATACTTCAAGTGGATCCAATATCTTTTTATTATTCATTTTGTTTAAGTTTCAGTTATAAAGAATACTGAGATTTGTTGTGCAATTAGTTTCAATTGGAGTTCTTCTAGCAACCTCAATACTCCTCATGCGTATGCTTTTAGGGTTCCACAGTTCCTGATACGACTGGCATATTTTAAAATAACAGAATCATAGTACCTTCAGGCCCCATTTCCTAAGTAGTTCTTACTTCTCTGGAATTTTGATTCTATCCTAGGTTTTGATGCCTGCAATGTTCTTTCTGGTATGTATCTATAAGTTCTCTTGTCCATCAAGCATTGACTTCGTCGAGGATGGAACATTCCTTCTCATATGCATCTATGCTTGATTCTTTTATCCTGTGTGTGTTAATTTTCATCTTGATAAGGTGAATTTCAGAGTTGTCGTGATGTTGTTTTTTGTCTCTGCTGGTTTAGGGAACAAGATGTCGACTCGTTCAAAGTCCTCTTGGGTATGGACCCTCAATGGGGCACGTTCATGGCAGGAGGATACCCCGTCCTTGCATTTAAGTAAGGTTCTGCCTTCTCTATTTCCTTGGAAGAGAATGATAAGCAGAAGGTTTGCAAGAAATGGGAGGCTGGCGACAGTTGCAAACAAGAGTTCCTGGTCTTTCATCAGGTTTGCATGTTGGCTCATAGTGTATCCTTAACTCAGTCACACACCATTCTTTATTGTGGCATGTAAATATATGTCACCTAATTCCATCTTATGACTTTTTTGAATGGTTGTTGCCATTGTTGTATTTTAAATTTTCAGCAAGAAACTGCAGCTTCTGCGAAAGAGGGATACAGTTTATACAAGATCAAGGAGTGGTTTCTCTTTATATAAATCAGGTGTTCTCAGTATTGGAGGATCCAATCTGAAGTGGTCCAAATCAATTGAGAGACGCTCAAAACGGGCTAATGAGGTTTGTGGTTCTTTAATACACAGACACCCCACATGTAACATGGACATAATTTTTAGTAACATGCTACTTATATGTTGTTTTGGTGTAGATAATAATCGTTATCCGCATACACTAGCAATTGTTTCATCAAGTTATCATCCAACAGTTCCTAAATTCTGCATGCACCTGTTTTGATGTATATTCGCTAACTGCTGATGTGTTTATCTCGTACAGCTCATTGGAAACCTACTGGAAATATGTAATGGTTGATGATTTCCATTAATTTGGATGATCTGGTTTTGCTGCTTAGCAGTTTAGCTTTTAGTTAGCTATGTTCTGTTCTTTTTGGTATAGCGTGCTATTTCATGACATGGATGACTGTTTTGTCTTTATTCTTTTCGCTTGTCTATTGTGGATGCTGACTACTTGTAATATTTACTTTGTCAATGGTCATATTATTTGTTCAGAATTATCGGCTCAAACAGTTTAAACAAAATAACTACATTGGTTGAATGACTTAAATGTTCATGTTGATTTGACATTTGTTGACATGGCTGCAGAGATGACGACTTCAAGTAGATTAGTGGGCAAGTTGCTTCCCCCTCTCTCTCTCTCTCTTATCTTTTGTCCTAGAAATACATTAAGAAATGAACGTAAAAGACTTATACCAACAACAGTTGAATGTAATTTCACTCTTTGCTGAAAATTTCAAATGCTTATATCTGATTTATATACCTCTGAAACTCCAGCATTTGCTTCTGTGTTCTTAGAATTCCAAATAGAGAGAATGTCGAGGCCTCTAATTTTGTTAATATCTGCCAAATGCCAAGGAATTACAATTGTGTATGTGATTATCAGCTGCATGGTTAATGTGACCAGCCGTCCTCTTAAGAGTCAATTCAGTCAACTTGATTCGATGGGGTTTCAGATTGATTCACAGTAGTTTTTGCTGGAGCAAGGCTAGATGAAAGACCTGATTGATTGGTGTAGATTTTAACTGAGTTGGCTGGCCTGACCACTTGACCATTTCAATGTCTTCTATTAGTGGAGAGTCAAATTAAGAAGTGACTTCTAGCTTCTCCAAATGTTAATGCATATGCTATAAGGGGTTCGTTTGAACCAATATTTGAAACTCAGACTAAGTTGAGCCCCCTGGCTGACCAGCTCAGGGCTTGCGATTCAGACTTGGATAGTCTTGTTTGATTACTTAGAAAATTTGAAGAGAAACATCATAAAAATGACAAAACAGATGAAAACAACAATTATAGAGAGCATAAAAAAGCCGAGAAAAAATTAAATAATATGAGGCACCATTCCATAGCCCATAAGATTTACTGGAAAAGATGAAAATGCATTGTAGTTTCTGATGGACAAGAGGCCATGAAAACTACTGGTCTTGTAGGGTATTTGAAGACTCAGCAAGTCTCTACCAAGCCTTGCTGTTCTCATTTTTAACTTTTTCTTTGTTGTTGTTGAGTATGTTGTTGTTGAGTAAATGGGACTTGGGATAGGCCCCAAGCAAAGTTGATTTGTCTGAGTCTCGATTTAGTGAACCAAGTTTTTAAACACTACTTTGAACCCCTCAAATTATCCTGAAGCTAAGTATAACAATCCTTATTCAACCCAAGAGTGGGAATAACTTCAAGAAATTGAAATTGAAATTGAAAATGCTTTACCAGTCCCTTAGTGAAAACATTTAAAAAGGTTACAGATTTTACACTCCTACAGTATGTTGACATACTTTTGTCCTGTGTATTGGTTATATTTTTTCATTAAGGGTTGCAATCATATTAGTTGAGAATTTTCCCTTGTATTGTTGAGGGGGATTAGTTTGTTTTGAAGTGAGAATCCTATTAATAGGAATACAAGTTAGATTCCTGTATAACCCTTGTCTACACCCTTCTAAATTTTGTCATCATATTGCTTAACGTTGGCAAATGTACACATTTCATCAGACAAAAGTCGTCACCGGTCTCTGGGAAATTTCCTTTTATCTCCAGGGAATCAGGGAGACATCTTTTAAACATCTGCTAACATTTAGTATCTTTACATAGAAATATAGATGAACATTTTGTGAGATTCTTTCATTGATATTTAGCTCCCAAGCTTTAGTTAGGATCCTAAGCTCTTTGTTATATCTAGTACTGCCCTTTCTTTAACCGCTAATAGCGGTTAGGGTCCCCCAATGGTACCACACAGCTATTGTCACCACCAGTGGTTTAAAAAACGGATCGGTGCACCTAAAAAACCCATCCGGATCAGTGAATCGGTGATCCGGATCGGGAATTGGTAGAATCGGTCCGCTCAAAAAAATTATGAAAATTCATTATAAATGTTATTTTTTAAGAATCCAATAAGAAATACAGGTATTACATTATTAATTTTCATTTTTAATCAATTTGCGAATAATTAAGATGTTCTTTCCCTGTATGAACTTATGTTAACCATTAAATTTGCATCACATAAAACAAAAAACATAGAATTACCATGGATAAAGTATATAATCATACATAGACTACAATAAATAATGGATTAAATCGATGAAAAATGGCCATGAAAATCTCGAATTGGTGGAAAACCCTAATCCACTAAAAAAAATAGAACCAAATTATTACAGCCTAACTAACTATAATCCAAAATTATTACAACCTATCTAACTGTAATATTATATATTGCAACGAAAAATGTTGGTTTATATTTTATTATATAAATAATAACAAATTTAAAATATTTTATAATATCATTTAATTTAATTTTATAATATCATTTAATTTAAAATTTATTATTGACAACTGTAAGAAAAATAATACATTACAAGATTTATAATGCAAATAAATAAATAAATAAATAAAATATTTGATTATCAATATAGAAATTATTTGAATGCATATCAATTTTCGAAATAACACTTTAAAATTTAAAAAATATAATTTTTTAGAATTCTAGAATAAATTTAATGGAAGAGATTGTTAGACAGAGAAATATTTCAAATGTGTATGAGTCATATCTTAAAACTAATATTCCTAAATTTATGTTAAAGCTTACCATATTATAAAAATAAAACTTATAATTAGATCAGTTATTCCTAGTTTGTATTAAAAAATATTTGTTGTATTAAGAAATATCTTTTATTTTTTTGGCAAGAAATACTTGTTTTTTTTTAACGAGAAAATATGATATTTGTTGTATTTACCTTTTTTTTTGACAAGAAAAAAAAGAAGATGTTATATGTTACTTTTTTTTTTTGTCTTGTTGTATTACTTTATTATTTTTTTATTTTTTACTATGATATTATTTTCTTCATTTAAG